GGTTAATCACTCTCGGTTCCATCAGGTTGAGTGTTAGAATTCAATGCTACAATAATTGAACATATAAACCAAAGACCTGTCCCATAATTTTGTCTCTGATTACCAAGCAAGTGACATTTAAATACAATTCCAGAAACAGAAGAGAATCAGATATATAAAATCTATTCTTACCAGTGTCTATTCTAGGAGGGGGGATGGGGGGGGGGTTCACCCCTATTTTTGAAAATCCCCCGTATTTTTTCAAGGGCAGGGCCAGGGGGGAAAATTTTACAAAGAGAAAGAAGGAGAATAATCAACAAATGTAATAAATTCTCACTTTTTGATAAAAATCCCCCCTGTTTTTCAAATCCTAGAATAGACACTGTCTTAGACTCTTACGAGGCAAATTTCAAGACAACAAATTTCAAGATCTTCATCTTGAGGTGCGATGCACTCATCTGTTTTAGATTATAAGAATCTTACACGGGCTGCCGGTACAGACCGGAATATCTAGCTCCAGGGAAACTGTAACGGAATATCTAGCTCAAGGGCAACTGTACCGGAATATCTAGATTGAGGGTAACTGTTTTAGGCGGTAACAAGGCTCTTCCTCCTTGACGCCCTATGACGGTATGGAAATAGATCTATCTGTGTATTATCAGCTTGTAAAATTGATAGGTCTTGCAATTGACATAGTAATACGGGAAGTCAAAGTCCTGGGCCGCGAAGCGGTCCCGGGCTTTGGCTTGCCCGGCTATAGATTACACGTGTATATTTAAAAAGAAAAAAAAATAAAAAAAATATAGAATTCTATACCTATCAGCGAAATTTTCAGTGTCATTTCTTGTTGGGCACCGTAACGCAATGATAAACGGCAAGTAATCCGATAATTGACAAATCGCAACTTTTCGGCCCACAAGATAACGATAAAAACCGAGGAATTGTGGGCAGCCATCTTGGATGGGAACCATAATAAGACAGGAAACCAGAACAAACGGAAGCAGTGTATAAAATACCAAACAGCACTTTTAAAACGGAAAATGTAAAATAAAAATACCGACTTCCCCGTTCATAGGCTTTGCCTTATTTCATATTATTAATGGGTACAGTACAAAGTAACATAGATCAGAGACATATAATAACGTCTCTGCATACATACACATGTACAGTTTAGTTATACATGTATTCCATAGTTCAATAATCAGATAATTTGATGCCAGCTAGCCCCTGTAAACAGATAAGAGGAATCAAATGGGTGTGAAACTATTAGGTGGTCTATAGTATGATACCCATATAAATATCAAAATATTTCGAATTCCATTGTGTCACCAAAGTTCTAAAATATTCATTTCAATTTGTGTGTATATGTCATCCAATGTCTACAGGTGTGGTACAGTCATGGAAGAGTTCTTCCCCTTCATGCCCTTTCAAAAATAAAATCAAATCATTCGCAAATTTGATATAACTATTTTGATTGATTCTGTGTGTGACAACAAAACTAATGACTAATTAAGGAATGTTTTAATTAGTTAGTAAATAAAACGATTTTCACAGTTTTTAGTTTTTTAAAAATTATACGGAAGATTAGATTTTTAAAAGTTATTTACCTGTCAACCCGGAAATGTTGGTTAGACTGGTTACTTTTTAATTTTCTAACTTAAATCAAAATAAACACCAAAAAGAAAAATAATTCACACAAAGAGGAAATACACTTTCTAAAAATAAGGGTGATGTAAATGACCCTGATAATTATAGGGATATAACTATATTAAGTTGTTTTGGTTTATTACTTCTGTATTAAATAACCCTCGGAACAAGTATCTAGAGTCATATGATATTTTGTGTGAAGAGCATGCTGGTTTTAGAAAGCAGTACAGTGCAATTGGTCATATATTCTCTTTAATGTGGGTTGATTTTTATTTATCAACGACAAGAGGTAAAAATTATACTGTTGTTTAAAGAATTTGATTCTGTTGATAGAATTGCCTTATGACAGAAACTGCTCAAGAATAATATTAGTGGTACTTTTTTGAAAATTTTGCATAATATAATATGTTTGTTAAAGCAAAGTCATGTGTAATAAGCTTTCTTTCTTTGGCAAGTAATGCTGGCGTTTGACAAGGTGAAAATCTTTCACCCGTTATTTCTAAATGATCTTGCACAGTTTATGTCTGAAAAATATGTAGGTCTTTATACACTTGCTGATGATGTGAAAGGCTTATTAAGTAATGAGGATTTAGAGGTGTTTTTTTGCTATATTTTGCATACCTTATGTCCAAACTTCGAGATCAGTGATTTCCAATCTTCAAGCAAATGTTTAAACTAACGTTTATATAAATCAGAGTTTGTATTTAAAGATTATTTTAACATACTTCCCTGGCAACTGTCTTCAGCTTTGTTAAAATTTAGATGTATGAATCATAAAATGCCAACTGAGAAAGGTAGATTCCTAAATATAGAGAGAAATTTAGGTATATGTACTTTATGTGAGTCAAATCAACTAGGTGACGAATTTCACAATCTCTTTTATTGTTCACATTTTGTTAAATGTAGACGTAAATTTATTAAACCATATTATTATAGGTATCCTAATGCATTGAAATTTGGAAATCTTATGAATAGAAAAAAACAAGTCACATTTAAAAAAATCTTGCTTTATTTTGTAAAGACATAATTAGCAAATAATAAGTATAATGTTGTATCGTTAGTCTCCTTGAAATTTTGTTATTGAAGCATAAATTCCAGTTATTATTGAGAATCTAGTCATATCTTTATTTTATTTTATGGGTACACTTTGTTACTTATTCTCCTGTTTTTATATATTTTTCTGTGTTGCGATTGTTACATGTTCCCAATTTTGTATTTTATGTCACATGTTTTATGAACCATGACAGTATTGAATAAAATCTAAATCTAAATCTAAAACTATATTAAAGCCAGACACTCATAATATGTTATTGAATCTGAGAGAAAACTATAATCCAAATAAATGTAAAAGAAAATATCGAATAATATTACCTTCGCGTATCAATTTATTGACTAAAGTCATTATCATACTAAATATGATAATTCATCAAATGCTGTTATTCAAAGATCTTTGAATTCAATTGAGATACGTTTTTATGTACAGTATTTGAAATAAGGTAAATATAAATAACTTATTCTACTTCAAATATGAATAGTGAAAAATAAGCTGTAAGGTATGGTATTCATCTAATTAAAGGACACAAATGAATTGTTTCTTTAGTTTAGAAAATATGCGTCCTGATTTCAATTTGCTATTGTTTGAGAAACATGGGGAAAAATCATCAAAAACAATAATTAATTGAAACTTTTAGACCCGGTTTATTCACTAAAATGTGCAACATTTTCCATGCCATCAGAATTTGCCTCAGCGGTATTCAATTACCAACATTTAAATTATTGAAGTATCCTTTGAACCTTCGGGACCATTGAGTCCAGCACATTTAAGTGTTGAGAATAGAATACCGCTTAAGCCGGTGCTAGGGGATGTGAGGGGTGTAGCACTTTTTCATTATCCCTCATGTACAGACTCAATCAAACAGTCTGCAATTTTCATGTAATTTTGCTGCTGTTTTAATGCTTCCGGTGATCACTTTTTGCTGTGATACATCACAACAGCAGGTTTCAAGTGCTGTGTGGCATCCGTAAAAAAGTTTCCCCATTCTTCACTTCAGTGTCGTTATATTTTTCTGGTCCTTCGGGATCATTGAGTCCAGCACATTTAAGTGTTGAGAATTGAGTACCGCTCAAGCCGGTGCCAGGGTGCGTGAGGGATGTCGCACTTTTTCATTATCCCTCATGGACAGACTCAATCAATTCGAGTCTGCAATTTTCGTATAATTTTGCTGTTTTTAATGCTTTCGAGAGATCACTTTTTCCAGGTATTTATACATATGCATCACAACAGCAGGTGTCAAGTGCCGTGTGGCAGCCGTAAAAGTTGTTTCGTACTTCACTTCAATGTTTTTTTTTTTTTGTTCTTCAGGATCATTGAATATAGCAAATTACAGTGTTGAGAATTGAGTACCGCTCAATCCGGTGCCAGGGGGCGTCAGTGATGTTGCACTTTTTCATTATCCCTCATGTACAGACTCAATCAAGTCCAGTCAGCAATTTTCGTGTAAGTTTGCTGTATTTTAAGTTTCAGAGGGAAAAGGGAACAATAATTATTTTTTGAGGTGACTATATACATTTTAAAATGTCGAGAATAATATTTTTGTATTTACATATTTTCATGAAGTAAACCCTTCATTTAACAGGAGAAAGAGAGTTCAATTTGCAAAGGAACATTTGTACACAAAATACATGTATAAATACTTTTCTTAAAGTTATTTATAAATGTTTGACAAACATTTCGTGTTTCATGTCTACAAAGAAGTATTGGCATTTAATTTTATCTGAAGCGAATACAAATATTTCAATAAAGTAGAACCTTTTCAGTTGCCTAAATTCAATACTATCGGTATAGCTTCAATAGTTGCTGTTGATCAACTTATTTATGTAGTGAGCTCTTATCGTTTACTTAACGGGTACGATAAAGCATTGATTTTTTGATCGATACATTCATTGAAAGACATTAATAGATTTCCCCCATTCAGAGCAGTCCACATTCATATAACTCATGTTAATATATGATGAAAAACATTCATTAGATATAAATAATCTTGGTGCCCTTAACTAATAAAAACAGAAATAGTATGAAAAAATGCACAGATACGCATAGATATGTGTCTTTTGATGTGCCTTAATTGAGTGGTAACATAACAGACAAGTTAAAGCTCTTTGCTTGTATTTTTTTTAATCTTGAATACAATAACGTGATAAATAAGCATTTCATCTATTAAAACAAGATGAAACTGAATAAAATATGGCATTTAAGAAAACATTTGCAAAAGTCCAAAGTGCAGTTAACAAATATGAATGAACTAAACGATTTCCATTACAAATGAAATGGCATGCATCTATTAAGTCCAGCAATTACCATTTTGTATTCTATGTACTGACCACCAATGATTGTTAGCTGACTCTAGTATTACATAATGCATGTGTCGTCGTTTGACAATCACTTTATCACAGTTAATTCTGCAAATTTCATATATCGTAATGGTGATTCTTTCTCTACACGTTGCCATAAATTATGAAATATCCATTTCGTTTGAAATATCAATCGAGTTCTTTGTAACCTGTCGATGACCGGTTCGTTCTGATTTAACCACATTCCAAGCATAGTCATATCGAGTGAGACACTTGTTAGCCTCATTCAACATCTTTGGCTTTGTTAATAGCACCCTTCGGATGTAAACACAACAACCTTTCTTTACAACACTGTCAATTTGTGCAGTTATGTTCGAGTTACCTAGTAAACGATTTTCCCATTTTGAATTCAATGAACGAAACCCTTTGCATGACAGTTTATGATACATGATATGTCTTTTTGCGCGATGATTTGTCTGTACAGAAACTTCATACAAGGCTGGTACTTGTGTTTTGCCTTTGAAAATTTCCTCAGCTCTGTAGCCGCACCCGTCTCCTGCCCGAGCACAAGTAATTTTCAGTTGCTTCTGTTCATCTGGTGCAATAGCAATTTTCCAAGGAGACCACTGCAGTTCTCTCAAGGCAAAGTTACTCTGAGGGACATTTTCCCGACGTAATTTCGGTAAGTATTTCTCCTCGTACCTTTTGAATGTTGAAGCAGGCGTCGATGTTTTTCTCATTTGTTTCTTCTGTGTCGATTGCATTTTAGCTGGCGTAGCTCGCTTTGAGACTCTAGATATGCCTGGCTTTGAAATTGGTGATTTAATTCTAATTTGTTTCTTTGAAGTTGTTGTATTCTGCTTCAAAGAAGTTGCAGGTGTTTTAGTATTCTTAATGCCTTTGGATGTTGTATTACGTTTTGATTTTGATACCACCTGAGTGGAACTTCCAGCAGACATGGAGGCATTTGATGATTGTTTCCGTAAGACACCAAATAACTTATCTAAATCTTTATGAACCTTGCCATCCCTTGAACGAACTTCTTTCTCATAGTTATGGAAAAGATCGTCACCCCTTTCCCTATAGCAAACTGTCATCAAAAAGTCAAAGAGATTTTTGAAATCTTTCAACCTGAGATGTTGACCATCAGTTCTCTGCGCGATGCCGGCGTAAAAGTAATCTGCCGGTTCATAATCATCACACTGAACAGAGTATATTCGGACGCCAATAGACGCCAGACTGTCAGCTTCCTTTCTCCAATCCAGTTTTAACTTATTTTGGCGAAAGCTTGGTCCGTGTGGACCGTCATCACCAATTAAAACAAGTGCCCTTTGAGAACCTGGTGTCCAGGACAGTTTTGTCCGAACCTCGTGCATAACCAATTCATAACACTCCCCTCCATCTCCACCACCCCAAGTGTTTTTTGCATTTTTTACAAAATCAACGGCCTTAGCGACGTCATCAGTAAAGTCAATGAATTTTGTGACGTAAGCGGTTCCTTTGTCGCAATAGTCGCCATGCGCAAATATAGCTATTTTAATACCCGGTATATCTGCTTGAAGACGCTGTATCATGTCAGAGACTCTGCCACGAACTTCCTCAATACATTCGTACATACTTCCGGTTGTGTCAAAGGAAAAAACAATCTCCATCGGACCGTTAGGAAGCGCCATTTTTCTCGATTCCTAAACAGAAATTTGTTAAAAATTCATTAATTATTTAATTTGAAATAATTGAGCACATTTCATTTTAAGATTCGTAGTATAAAGAAACAAGCGGAAGATATGTTTAAAATTGTTTATCTACAATAAATTGTCTAATTAATTGATCTGTCAGAAACAAGTTTGTGGCATTATAAAAATAATATAAAAGTTAAAACAATATATATACCTTTTAAAAGAGCCTCCCTTGAATATTTATCAAAGTAGTTTATATTTTGAATATACAGTAGTATCGGTTAAAATGTTGAAGTGATATACTGTAAAATTCGCCGCGTTTATATACCGATCTATCGCATTTTGATCAAGTTTTAACATGCGCTCGTTGTCATACAGCGCATGCGTAAATATTTTGCAATGTAGATAATGTATTTATAGAATGACTATTTTAAGCTACAAGTATGTTCTAATTTTCTATTTATATCTATATATCATTTAAATATGCACACAAGATACTGAAAGTAAGAAGTTCTTCACAATTTACTGAATAAACACATTAATACATTAATGTTTATTATATGAGAATTTATGTATATACACTTGATATTCATTAATATATACTGCGTATAGGTCATGGTCATTTGTAGACATATTTCGAAAGGAAAGTACAAAACTATATGACGTTATGTACAGAATTGATTAAGATTATCAGTACGACAATGTCTGTCATAATCGGCATTTATTCATACATACTAGTCGCAAAGAAACTATCTAATTATACAACATTTACTGAAGAAAACTCTCGTATTCATAATAATAATGATAATTAATACACTTAAAATTCTAAAGAAGAGAAGAAAGTATTAATAACAACTATTTACTAAGAAAACTCTCGTATTCATAATGATAATACACTTAAAATTCTAAAGAAGAGAAGAAAATATAACAAATATTTAATTACTGCCTGGCAAATTGCAAAGCTAGTTTTGTATGTTTTTACTACATATCAAACTGTATCTTATTAAAATCCAGAATATTATGTGTAATGATCGAATAGCTCCAAACATAATAGCTTATCAAAAACAATTTTATACGTAGTTATGATTTTTCAGATAAAAAAAAAGTTCGATATTATTACATTCCAAAACTGGTCTACAAGCGTCCATTTTTTTTAAATATATCAAATATTGATGAAAACAATAGGTTTTTTTTTTAAATATGTCTGGAAAACAAAATGTTGATAGGTATCTAAAGTGATTTAATATGAACAGATATTTGATGAATGCTATTTTTTTTCAGAACACTTTATTACCTGTCATATATTGAAATAGCATATCCAATCATGAATTGAACATTTACCAAGAAAATCCATATATTATTCTTGCGAAGTTTGTTTTCATGTATGATTCTGAATACTATCACCATAATCTTTTACAGTATTATACAGACCTTCCATTATTTAGCATTTTGTTTACTGTAACATGTTTTTTTTTTTAAATCATTTCATTTTAACGCAGATACATTATATGACTAAATAAAAATGAGGAAACTTTCACTTAAACAGTTACTTTTCTAAAGTAAAAATATAAAGTATACATTTTCATAATAAAAATACATGAAAATGATCTAAAGATCATACTAAAATGTCTTTTCTTTTCAAAGTGACTGAAAAAGTTATTTTTTATAAGATAAAACATGCTGAAATCATACCAATTAGACATCAGTTAATTATACATGTATAATATGATCATGTTAATTTTATTCATATTAATCTTAAAATTATCACATACGTCGTAGTTTGAAATATCAAGGTGCTTAGTCAGTTGTACAGAAAGAGAACAACTATTCAACATACAATATCAATACAAATATTTATAACCCATTTTATAATTATGCATGTATAATATGTTTAAAAAAATGAAATCCGTTTGGAAACAAACATACAGTAAACTTCCAATTAGTTCGTTTGAATTTGTTTTCCGTAACAAGCCCAAATGCAAGCATCAGTCAAAATTGAAGAAACGGTCGGCCGTAAAACCCGAAATAAAAATCCATTTTAAATTTTATCACCATACATGGTATGTCCTTATTCTTAAGGTATTACCATCACAATGAATTACCTCCGCTTTGAAGGGTATTCAAATACGCTAGAAATACTGTCAGCTGCATTAAAACTTAGAACCGTTGGTTCAAAACCCCGAAGTCGATTGTTAAGAAACAAATAGTTACATTCAACCAACAATCAACAAAAGTCGAATGATTGTTTCTATTCAATTAAGTTTGAACGTCACTGTTACCTATTAATTACATGTACATTCTTTCCGAATATTTAAACGCATTACATTGTTTAAAACATCTGAATAAGTTCATATGACAAAACCAAGTAATACATCAAAACAAAACAAGTGAATACATAAAGGAATGTTCAATAACAAAACTAACTCGTATTTAAAAAAAGAAGATAAAAATAATCAAGGAAAGAAAATAACTCGCAGATTATCATCATCACAATGAGAAGTGTCTTACTGATCCACATTTTGATCTGATTGCAGTTATGTATTTCAATGACGACCTTTTATAAGCTAAATACACACAAGTTTGTTAATCTTATCGTTTTCAAACATTTGACTATATAATCTGATAAACGTGCAGATTGTTACAAATGTGTTTACATTAATTTATTTCTGAAATAAACTTTGAAACTTTGACATGATCTGAATAAGTGGCAGTGGGCGTCACATGCTTTTACACCTGGTGATCGTGGTGAAGGCAATTAAGGTTAACTGATACAAATTTAGAGCTGTTGTAACCGATTTGTTTGTTATGATAATATTGTTTATTTGCAGTCATTAGTAACGATACAAAGACAATGTCTTGTGAAATAAGTGAAATATGCAAAAGACAATAAATGACGTTTATTGCGTCCAACAATATAGATCTGGCACTTCTGCATTTGACACTAAAATCGGCATATTCGATATAAGTTACGATCTACTTGTAAACAATATGAATGTACATAACATGTTGTCAGATGGTGTAAATTAAGAAGTCATCTGAACGCAGTCGGTAAACTTTCACTTTAAGAATATCAGCCACTTCTATTTATATTTTATTTAAATTTTAAAATTGGTATTCTCTTCAAACTGCCAGTATGGATAGTACGACTGTCACTGTATTATAAACGCGCTGTACATGCTATAAAAGATAATGTAACGAAATAAAAAATGTACTTGTACATAAAACACTACTAAAAAGTTATCCTAAAAAACCAAATGTAGTAAAACGATTTCAAGTAAATTCTTTCAAGTAATTAAAACAAAAAAGATGTGTATCTTCAACATGGAGTTGGTAGGAGGAAGAACATGTTGAAATCATAACAGATTGACATCATATCATATAATCATGTTAATTTTATACATATTAATATCAAAATTGATACATACGTCGTTGTTTAGAGTCAATTGTACAGAAAGATAATAAATATTAAAGATACAATATCAATACACACATTTATAACATAGTTTATAATTATGCATGTATAGTTATTACATTTAAAACTAAAATACACAATGATATGAAACAAACATACATTTACTGTCCTAGGATGATAATTTGGACTTAACGGTACATGGGAAAGTCCAAAAACGGGGTTATCTGGATTATTATCCGAAATCGTGAAAGTTAACAGTTACATATACTATATAACATTATTCTTACAGTATCGATGGTGTATGACCGTTATGGCACTGCCGGTAGATCGAAGTTATTGGAACTTTTAGTGTTTTGTACTCAAAGGTTCGAACCCCACGTAGTGCCATTTTATAACCACAGTTTTTTTCTTCTTGCTCTGTTTTATTATTATTTATTTATTTTTCGTTTTCATTTTTGTTTTCTTCTTATAATCTATATTTTTATAGTATATATATATATATATATATATATATATATATATATATATATATATATATATATATATATATATATATATATATATATATATATATATATATATATATATATATATATATATATATATATATATATATATATATATATATATATATATATATATATATATATTTTTTTTTTAATTTCTATTCTATTTTCTTTTTGTATTTTTTTTATCGCAGTGTAATAAAATATTCGATCTCATATTCATGTATGTATATGAAAAAACCGGTCAACTTTTCTGCACAATTGACTCTTTTCTGAGGTAAAAATAGAAGTGTCTTACCAGTAGTCGAACTTCTGCCTGTACGGATAAAACACATTACTGAAACGGTTGCTCTACCTACTGCGCTAACAAGACATAAGATAACTTGTAGTTTTTTTTTCATTTTTATAGGTTGTGGCATTGATCTGCCTAACCTATTTTTCGCATTGTTATTGGTCTTTGTTATGTAAACAAAGGCTCAAGATATCATCCTAGGACAGTAACTTCCAATTATTGTTTGATTTTATTAACCTGTCAATTCCATACTGATTATACGGTCAATGCACAGAATATATTAATATTCGATAAATTTTCGGTTAATTCCGTGATATTTAAGCAGTAAGATATGATTAAATTCATCTGGTTTCTTTAAATTAGTTACACTGACCGTTATAGCGCAATAGGGTAAACTATGGGTATATAATTTCTAAATGTCCTACGTGTTGTAAGACCGAGACAGCGTATGTCCAGACATTTTTTCTAATTTAAAACTATTTTCAATATTTTTTAAGTTTGTTCTCTCTGTTTTAATAGGTTTTGCACTTTTTTGTTAATACTATCTTTTTGTATATAACATTGTTAAAGAATTAATATTCAAAATTCATTCGGATCAATAAATGTCATTTCAGTGCCGTAAAATACAATACAAAACGTGACAAGTCAGTGTTTCTTAGTTGTTTCATATCTGTGTAGAAAATTCTGAAAGCGCTTGATCATTTTCATTATAATATGCTTAAAAATAAAGAAAAAATAAGTCTAAAAATAAGTAACGTCTAAAAAAATGTAAAAAAAGGGATCGAACCTCGGACCTCTCATACATAAGGTAATCACTTAACCGACTTTGCTATTGCGGATGTTACGAGAACCTTCATTAAGCTAGTGGTAGTTTTCCAAACGTTAGCTATATACTCCATATTAATTCTCGTAAAATAAACGGACAAAACCGAAGTAGGGTCGAATATTTAAACGAGTGCTATAATGTATTCATAATTGACAGGTCAATAAAATCAGACTATACCTTATTCAAATTTGATTTCAATAACAAGCCGAATGCAAGCATCAATCAAAATAGAAGTCTGTAAAATCGAAATGAAAATGCATTTTAAAATTGTATCACCATACATGATATGTCTTTATACTTAATGTAACACCATTCTTATGCATTACCCCCGCTTTGAATGGTGTTCAAAAAGGCTAGAATAACTGTCACCAGAAGTTTTCTACTTATTTTTTGTTCCTTAAGATTATTTGTGCATTTCTCGTATACCTCTTAGAAAGAATAAAATGTTTAATTTTTGTATAGTCTGATTTTATTGACCTGTCAGTTATGAATACATTATAGCACTCATTTAAATATTCGATCCTACTTCGGTTGTGTCCGTTAATTTTACGAGAATTAATATGGAGTATATAGCTAACGTTTGGAAAATTCCCACTAGCTAAATGAAGTTCTCGTAACATCCGCAATAGCAAAGTCGGTGCAGTCATTACCTAATGTATGAGAGGTCCGAGGTTCGATCCCTTCTTTTGACATTTTAATAGACGTCACTTATTTTTAGTCTTATTTTCTTTATTTTTAAGTATATTATAATGAAAATGGTGAAGCGCATTCAGAATTTTCTACACAGATATGAAACAACTAAGAAACACTGAATTGTCACGTTTTGTATTGTATTTTACGGCACTGAAATGACATTTATTGATCTTAATCCGAATGAATTTTGAATATTAATTCTTTAACAATGTTATATACAAAAATATAGTATAAACAAAAACGTGCAAAACCTATTAAAACAGAAAGAACAACCTTTATTTCAAAAATATTGAAAATAGTTATGAATAAGAAAAAATGCCTGGACATACGCTGTCTCGATCTTACAACACTTAGGACATTTAGAAATTATATACCCGTAGTTTACCCTATTGCGCTATAACGGTCAGTGTAACTTATGCATTGAAACCAGATGAATTTAATCATATCTTACTGCTTAAATCTCACGGAATTTACCGAACATTTATCGAATATTAATATGTTCTGTGCATTGACCGTATAATCAGTATGGAATTGACAGGTTAATAAAATCAAACAATAATCGGTTGAAACAAGGTAAAAGTATTTAATACTTTACATGTGCAACCAATAAACTTGTGAGAAAACTTAGGGAAACTTTGAAATTAGTTCTTTTTTATTAGGCAGGAAAAATGGCCAAACAAGAGTTATAAATAGGTGGAGTAGAGTAACATTTTATAAATTGAGTAGAAATAATCCTTTAGCATTTGTGGACTGCTAGCTTAATGTTACTAACTATTTCAAAACAATAGTTAATGGGATAGCATTTTTATAAGGATCATATTATAAATTATTTAAAAGTTTCACATTTCTGAAAGTTCCACATTTCTGAAATAGAGTCCTTCTGATATTCAAACTGAAGAGAAGTGTACATAACTCGCGTATCGTACGGTAACATTGTTTTAAGTTTGCATGTAGATGTCCTTTAAGTCATATATCTGATTCAAGTTGTCAATTTTTTCAGTTCCTTATACATGAAATGCCCATACCTTAAGTGGTCATACATTAAGCACGCTATTCAAAACTTACATGAAGTAAGGAAATATATTCAATTTTGTCACCAATAAAAATGGAATGTCACCATTACCTTACTTTAAGTAGCTATCAATTACATAAACATTCATTTTATTAATTTAGAGCATTTCTAGTTACATCGTTTAAAAAACCTGAATAAGTTCATATGTCAAAAATAAGTAATGCATCAAAACAAAACAAGTGATTAAATAATGGAATTTTCAATTACATAACTAACTTGTAAATAAAACAAGAGAAAAAATAATAAAGGAAAAAAAATAAGCAGATTATCATTATCACAAAGATGATAAGTGTCTTGCTGACTGTCCACTTAACCCCATTTTGCTCTGATTGCTGTAAGGTATTTCAATGACCTTTAAGGTAAATGCGCACATGTTTGTTTATCGTATTGTTTTCAAATATTTGTCGGTAGAATCTGATAAACGTGCAGATTGTTACAAATGTCAGCACCACCTCTGCCACAACTGATCACCAATAGATTCGTTTCCCGACAAATTGCCAAGGCTATCGGGTTGCGTATACCATCCAACTCCAATCCAACCATTAAAATAGGTCTCATGTTTGAGAGATCGTCATCTAATTGATATACATGTCCTTCACTCCCAGTATTTGTAGTTACAAAAACAGACCCATAACCGCTTACCGCAAGACCCTCAAAGTATTTCCCCTCGCTTGTTTGTAAACCAGTGCCATGTCTCGAAAATCTTTTAAGTTTCCCATCTGTGCTACTAGTTACGTATATATAATTATGATCAGGGGTTAGGCCTACACCTCTTGGACCCATCACACAAGTGCTTATAACTTGCAACTCCTTTCCTTCTAAAGACATGATAACAACTTTTGCATTTCCTATGTCATTAAAAACTACAATTAAATTTCCTCGATCAAATTGTATATTTCGGCACTTCCCACCTGTTTTGATTTGTCTATCTTTTGCTAAACCAGATGATGTCGACAAGAACTGAATCAGTTTTTCATCTCTTAATGTCACGGCTAGTTTGTCTGGCGGCACAACTGTTATATCACGCGGACTTGAAGATAACGTAATTTCAGAAATCATTTTGCCAGCATCTGCATCAACAATTTTCACGTTTTTGTTTGCTTTATCTGCCACGGCTAATTGACCGGGACTCAAGAACGCTATTCCTGACACGAAGCATGTCTTCCTATCACTATTACCTTTGATGCTTATTAAGCATTTTCTCTCATCATGTACAACCTCTGATGCATTGCAATGGCTTTGTATTGCCTTTTGTTCTATATTTATTGTACCAAATATACTTTCTAATTCTGTTATGTCTGAATTAGACTGTAGTTCACACTCTTCTCTATTTAGCTTTGACAATGAGCCATACACTTGCGACTGAAATTCAGTAATCGTTGATTGTGCATTTTTGACATGACAGTAAAGTAAATTGAATTTTCTTTCAGTTTTCAACTGTTCCGTCTTGGTTTCCATTTCGTTTATGTTGTGTAAAATTGACTGAAATGATTCTTTCAATTCTTGCATTTTGTTAAGGTTTGTTTTCCTAAATTCACTGGCTTGCTCTTTCGATTTATTAACGATTTCATCAAGCTTCGCCAAGATTTCGATTCTTTTGTTTTCAATTGATCTAATGACATCGTCATATGTTGTTGTAACAGTAGCAGTATTCAGACCAATCTCGCGCAAACCAACATCACACCTTACCTTCAAAGTATCTAAGTTTGATTTAAAGCCTATATAATCATTTCCGTTTGTCAAAAATGTTTCTGATACGTCAGGTATATAATCAATGTCACACTGTTTATGTGAAACTGTCATACAAATGATGCATCCGAGATTGCCGTGTGTTCGACAGTACAACTTCACTTGTTCTTGAGGATGTAAGGAACAGCTCTGTAACTCACCACTAGACAGAGGTGTCGATGTAGTTGGCATTGTTATATTTACTACATGATGCGTCCCATAAATTAAATTGTGATCTTTGAGGCAGGAGTCGCATAAGTTTTCCACACACTCGTTGCAACGACCGACAGCTTTTAACGACCGTTTTCTTGACTTACATACTATATAACTGCAATATAAATATGTATCCTCTTCCGATCCGAATAGAAGTGTATCTGAAAGATTTGTGTTGAAATCTTGTCTTCCTGAAACCGCCATTTATATTGCTTGTTGTGCGACGAATGCATGCAATAGTAATGCTCGCGTCTTACTTATCACATAGAAGAATTATGCATATAGAATGATTTCTGATAATAGAAAAACGTCTTTCCTTTCCAGTTTATTGTTTGGAAACTATCTGTTTAAAATATAAAACCTTTGAACTAAATTTTGAATTACTGATTTGAACAATATATTTCTCGATAGTAGTTATACACAATTCTATTATATATTGATTTAATACCTCCAATTATACCATTTTCCCCAACTTCTTTGTCAGGTGTTCAATTTTAAGTTTAAGGTTGTTTTGCACATTCGATACATAACGTTGAGAATTTCCAGTTGGTAACTTTCAACTTATTTAGGGTTATTGAAATATATATATATATATTGGACTTAATGCGGATTGAAAGTAGATCTATTTCTACCACGTCGTTTTAGATGTTTTGACAATTAGAAGAGGTTGTAAACTTTTATAATGTATAACGAATGTAAATAATGAATTATGAATTATGATTGAACATATGTCTGACTTAAAAGTGCTCAATCACAACCAAATCCGAACAAATGGCAGGTAGAAATTTTGTACTTTAGGTTCCTACAACCATAATTATAAATATAAATATATATATATATATATAAATATATATATATATATATATATATATATATATATATATATATATATATATATATATATATATATATATATATATATATATATATATATTCACACATATCTTCACTTAAGGGGCCTATTATAAGACCGAGTTGAGTGACATTATTTCATGCAGGCAGTTTTTATATATGCCACTATGTAGGCATATATGACATTTCCAAACAACAGAACTAAGGGGTACTAAGTTATATATATCAACTATATATTTAATTTTACCATAGGTGAAAACATATTGACCAATAACATAAAAACCCCATTAAAAATATATACATTTGTGGGACATATATCATTTACTACTAAAACCGGCCTACGGGCACTATGTTAGAAGGGTAGCCTACGCCCCATACATTGTTTTAAACATGCCAGAGTTGCGAGGCCTTATGTATGCCCCACATTAAATATATACCCCACAAGTATGGTCTCAAATAGACCGATGCCCCGTAAATGGAGGAATGTGACTGCATATATATATATATATATATATATATAAATATATATATATATATAATATATATATATATATATATATATATATATATATATATATATATATATATATATATATATATATATATATATATATATATATATATATACTATATACTGTTATATCTGTAAATTTACTTAAATTATGTAGACTTTTTTCTTCAACTCCTAGCATTATATAACTGATTGTTTACATGTTTAGTTTCTTAGCGTAGTAAAAAAAGTACTTGTACGAGGGTTGTTCGGAAAGTTTTGAGACAATATGATTTTCTCTGTTTCTAATTACAGCTGCGAATATTATTTAATACAAATTATAGCTTAATATGTTATTTGTCCGAGTTATGTCTTTAAAACGTTGTAACGTTACTATACGGCATATAATCGTTTCCATAGCAACACCTATCTACGCATCCTGGCGCACGGACTATTTTCTTGTTATAATTTTTCTTACTGAATAAAAAGAGCCCCTAAAATTGCGCCAAACGTCACGAAAATTTTATGACGTCACTTCCAACTTAAGGATGTCATTTCCGCTAGTTGTTTAAGCCGTTACCGCAGATCATTTTAGCAATACGTGCGCGACAAGACAACGACTATGGAAACACCGTCAAAAGAGGAACAGCGTGTTTTTATTAAGTTTTGCGTTAATCTTGGGAAAACGCCAACAGAAACTAAGCAACTTCTAGAACAGGCAAACAACGGACGTACTGTTAGTCGACCATTGGTATTAAGATGGCATAAAGAGTTTCGGGATGGCAGAAAGTCAACAAAAGACAAGGAAACATTTAATGGACTTTTCCGTTTTTCCGGCCATCAAATCCGAACTACGAGGAATCCGGTTTGAGGACCTAGTTGAACTGCGCTCTAGAGTTATGAGCATTATTGCAACATTTAAATCTGACTGGTATAGAAATGTATTCGCCAAGTGGGTTACGAGGCATGAGAAATGTGTACGTTGTGAAGGAAGATACGTTGAAAAGGAGTAGCAGTTGACTTTTCTACGGTGACGTTAAACTCTGGAAATAACGGCAACGTCGAATAACGTCGTTGCGTGCGCCCGGTCACCGGTAGTGTTTGTGCCTAACGCTTTGTAGCTTTTGTATACATGAAGCTATTGTTATGAAATTTTAAACTATAGTAGATGAGGTATTAAAGTAATACATATTAAACTCTTGTTTGATTTTATCTTTTCCAACGCTAAATATTGACCCAGTCTCAAAACTTTCCGAACAACCCTCGTACCAATACGTTTTAGTGAAAATCAACTAATCTGTTTTGGGTAGGCTGAAAATATAATTTCTAAAAGATCTTTTAATTTGTGTAGAGCAGCCTTAAAGATTTAGGTAATATATGATACATTGAAGGTTATACTTCTTTTGTTGAGTGTCTCTGATCGCAATAAAATAACAAATAGTTTTGTGCAGTAAAGTAAAGATTAAACAGATTGCGAAACAAGATCTTGCAACTTGTATCAATCACATTCGAGTCACAGGTGGCAGTAGATCATGTTTGCATATCGCTGGATCATTCATTAAGATCAATAAAAATATTTAGAATTCCACAGCTTACCTAATTCAAGTCTAACAAATATTAATATTCTATCGATATATCTTTTTCACGGTATTTTTTTTACTTGTCTTAGCCATTTTGGTGTCTGATACCTGTGTTGTAATTAGCGATCTGATTGGACGGGCTAAATTGGACGTTTGAAAATTAAGAAATACACAATCTAATAAATATATTCATTGCAAGTAAGTAAAAGCACAGAATCGCTCAGTAAATACGAATCCATACAACAAGTTCAATAATATTTCGCTCGTCAGGACAAAAGTCATTTTGTGGTCGTTTGTTGGTTCGCTTGTCTCTATGTTTTAACGTTGATTTCAAGACATATCTGGTCATATTTCGGAGTTTGGTCCACCGTACAACTGTGTTACTACTACTCCAACATGATTTCCGAATCAACAGTGAGGAACAAATGACTATAAGATATAACTTTAAAGGAAAAGTGTCACAGATAAGTAGTTTTAACATCAGTGTTAGCATAATCAATAACCATTCTTAAGAACATTATTATTCGTTAATGATATCTGTCACATTAACTTATGTTGGAATAATGTCTGAAAATGGCAGGTTGAAATCACTTCCTTGAAGACAGATATATAGGCACTATATACAGATAGCTTGTACAGGCTTGCATAACATACAGTATTGCATTCTTATACAAGAACAAATAATGCTTAAACACATGACGATGATAATGATGGAATACTTTGCTGGAAGAAAAACCACTTCATTGTGTCGGAAGTTTTATTATTGACACCAGTGCTTGGACTCCAAACATATCATTATGCTATTTCTGAACTAATATCTATTGAGGTGTTCTCGTTTTTATGTTTAATCTTAAACACGTGTAATTTGTTAGAGACATCAGCATCATTGCTCCCACAACTCACATATAACATGTTCCTTGTATTAGAAATAGCAAGAGCTATTGGTGCTTTAATACCGTCAATGATCGTCAACACTGCTTCATCGTTTGACAGATCGTCTTGCATCTGGTATACTGAGTTACTTGACTTTGAGCAGGCGTATACAGAGCCGCCTGCGCTAACAGCAACACCCATGTACCTATGCCGACCGAAGGTGCCATTTACATTTCCCAATCTAGACAAGTTAAAGATACACATTTTACTTAAATCTGAAACATACATTCGACTGCTATCTGGACTCAAACCTATACATTTTGGTTCACTGAATATCATAGACCCAGACTCATTCAGTTGGAAAGTACACAGTACATCTCCGTTAAGTCTTAAGATTTCTATTTTTGGTCGCACCATACCGTCAAAGGCCACAATAAGTTTCCCGTCATCATGTTTTATTCCTCGGCAATTTCCATTTGTTTGTATTTGTTCTGTTTTTGTCAACCCTTTCAACGTTGTCAACAGCTGAATACGTTCTTCATCTCTAAGTGTCACGGCAAGCTGGTCCGGTGGTATTACCGTTATATCTCGGGCAGACGATGTTAACTCAATGTGAGAAACAATCTTGTCGTGAGATACATCCACAATTTTCACATTTTTATTGGCTTTGTCTGCTATAGCGAGATGATCAGCCGATAGAAATGCTAGTCCAGTTGCATAGCACACCTTCTTGTCACTTTCGGACTTGATATTAACCTGAGTTGATTCCCTATTGTCCAATAATTCTGGTGAGCTATATTGTCTTTGTTTCAAATTTTCAATAACTACTTTGCCAAAGATGGTGTCATCTTTGATATCTTTTGTAGTTGTGAGATATGACATGTCGTTAACAAGATTTCTTGCAGAAATTTCATACATCCTTTCCAAATGTTTGACCGTTACTTTGGCAGCATGTTTAGCTTCAATGAATAAAAAATTGTGCTTTTTTTCCTTTTTTAAATTGCTTAACACTTTATATGTGTTTAGCATTTCTGTTTCAAGCTGATTCAAGTCCGATTGAACTTTTGCCATTTTATCTTTACTTTCTTTTATGTACGCCTCAGCTTCGTTGCGAACTTTCTGTTCTTGTTCGTTTATGTACTCGATGAGTTCTATTTTTCTTGCTTTAATTGCATCAGTAGTAATCTGAAATGCTGTTTCACTGAGCAATAAGTTTTCTTTAACTTTTTTCAAATTTTGAGACAACCTTTCATTGAGACTCTGCATACTGACCTCTAAGTCTATATACTCGTCTAATGAAGCGTACTGTACCGATATATCAGGGATATAATCCGTTTCGCAACTCTTATGTGACAACATGCATGCAATACATCCTATTTCATCATGTCTGCGACAGTGATATTTCAATTCTTCATCTTCATGCTGTGGACATTTTGGTAAAGGATCCTTAGCTGGAATAGGAGTCGTCTTTTCCATGTCATGATAGACTGAACTTTTATCCGTTTTATGGCATCGATAACATTTACTACATAGGTGAATTTGACAGTTTTTGCAATATCCAAATACGCTTTCACGCCTCTTTGTAGCTTCACATTTACAACAGATTGGCACAACATTATCATCACTATTTTTCTGTCGTCCCGGGACGCTCATTTTTTAAACTTTTTATTCCTTATATACAAGATGTCAAATCAAATTAAATGTTTGAGATATCCGATGTTCAATATACAAGCGAATACTATGATTAAACGTTGATAAACAGAGACAAGTAAAATGTACACACTTTAAACTGTGAACTTCAAGTGGGTATGAGAGGGGTATTTGTTATCATCAGGATATCTTGATATGGAAGTTTGATATGACACGTGTTAATTTTGCTTTTGATAAACATATACATATACAACAGATATAGCAAAATATGTACATATATAATAAAATTCAATAGAGATAAATATGAAATGTGTTTCTTGTCGAAAAATTTAAAAACATAACTGTCATGAACATTTAAACTTTGATGAATATTTTTCCTCTGTTATCTTATCATGTAATAAGTGTTTCACTTTAAACCTGTCAACGATTATACACTATTTTGTTAAAATGTTGTATAAAATTTTAGTAGGAAATTATTTTGAAATAATGTATATATAGGTACATGTATTTTTTAGGCTGGTGAGATTGGACGAGTACACTGTGCAAAATAATTCTCGTCTGCAGAAATCTGAAGGGTTTGTTGTATTTCTCTTCTGGCTAGATGTTTTCATAGAAATGTACTTTTTCGATATACGTGCTGTCTTAGGTATCGTACAATCATAATGAATACTTACTTTTTGAACACCTTGATATTCTCGTTAACTGACAGATGCAGATGTGTATTGAAAACATGACTGATCTAATTTCAGTATAGAAATATACCCTAATTATTTTATCTATGATAATTCTGAATTATTTAAGTGATGGAGTAGTTAATAATTTAGATTGTTTCATGATATTTCATTGAATTTCATTTGTTTAACAGTTACCCCAAATTCTTCCAACGCTTCAATTATATAGCTGTCAAAATGGGGAAAATGAGACTGTTTGCTCCATAAAAGTTCAAAAACCGAGAACAATTTCAGACCACTTTTATTGACCATTGACAAGTTATCATGTTGGATTCCTTTGGTTCATACATAAATCAATGCAAACTAGATTCTTATTTGCGACTAACCACGTATATGTTTTAGGACATGTGTTGAAGCAGTGTGCTGTAATTAAACGAATAATCCTTAACGGATTATCTTTAAGCTATAAAAACAGTAACAATGTCTGATAATAAAAATAAAATATTTATCAATATCATGCCGTCATCCGTGTATATCGGACTGAACAATACAGGACAATTTTGACAAGTACACAGGTTGAGAAACCAGTTATTGGTTGAATACGCATACGGTTGCTAGGTAGACAAGGGAGGGTTCTCTTGGGGGAGTATTTGCATGGTATCTCGTTCCCACGACATAGTATCTCGTGGCCACGACTTAATTAACCCGTGGCCACGAGTTAGTAACTCGTGGTCATGACATAGAATCTCGTTCCCACGACTTAACTATCTCGTGCCCATGACTTAGTAACTGGTGGCAACGTCATAGTATCTCGTGCCCAAGAGATAAATAAAAACGCACAAATGACACCTTTGTGACACCGTAAGTATCTGCAATTAAATGTGACAATTATACACTGAGCCAGTGTTGGCCCTAGATCCCTAATTGTTTCCATTTTATCAGCATTGAAAGATCAATCTGATTTAGAATTGTCACGTAAAGAACGAAAAGGAAGGAAAAACATGTTAAGCTATTTTAAATTGTTTATGCTGTTCGCGAGTATACGTCTGGTATATCTACATCAATCTGCTTATAATGTTATAATTTCATTTAGTTTTGCGAGCGAATTTGAAAAGAAGAAAAAAATACAGACACAATGTATCAAAGATTTTAATAAACATAAAATCATGAATTTTTGTATCAAATTTCATTACACATATATCAAACATTTTGGACATTATCAAACGAATGGAGTCTTGACATTTAGCGATATGGAATCTTTTCTCATGAGGTAAAGTTTTAAAAAGGGTGTAAAAGGATAAATAACAGATTCCTTTTTAACAATAATGATGTATTTTCACACATGCTTAATATATTTTCTTTCCTAGAAATCGACTCATTTCCTTCCTTTAAAATACACAATAAGATGTAATTATATATCAAAGGGACATAACCAGTATTTCAATAAACACTTAATAAGTACGTTTTGCAAGTTATTATGTACCAAATATGTTTATGCATACACATTCAGTGTTTATAATTTCAACATTAAATCATACATGTTATTGCATTTTTATTTAGGGGGCAGGGGACATATTCGATTGATGGCCCCGGCCAAATTTTTTAATAATTCAGACATGGTGTTTTGGAGGTACTGGAAACTTCTGATATTTCTCTGTCATTGTAATTCTTTCTTGCTTGTGTGTAGGAAATGAGCAGTATTTTTGGGTTTTTACTCGAAACTAAGCATTTTGGTAGCTTTGTATGTATTTGTGACTCTCCGAATGGAGGTGGAAAAGTTAGAAATCAAGCTTTGACAGTTGGCGCCAAACAAGCAAGAAATTTCGGATATATTTTGTGAAAAATCTAAACGTATGACAGACGAGGTGTTTAGAGCCTATTTTCTGTCATTTCATTTATCGAAATGTGAATGTTTTACCCACCTTAGCCAACGACAATAAAAAAAAAACTTTCAAAAAAGACTACACCAAATGACAATATATAAAAGTAAATTGAATTTTCTTTCAGTTTTCAACTGTTTCGTCTTGGTTTCCATTTCGTTTATGTTGTTTAAAATTGACTGAAATGATTCTTTCAATTCTTGCATTTTGTTTAGGTTTGTTTTCCTAAATTCATTGGCTTGATCTTTCGATTTATTTACGATTTCATCAAGCTTCGCCAAGATTTTGGTTCTTTTGTTTTCAATTGATCTCATGACATCGTCATAAGTAGCAGTATGGAGACCAATTTCTCGCAAACCAACATCACACCTTTTCTTCAAAGTATCTAAGTTTGATTTAGAGCCTATATTGTCATTTGCGTCTGTCAAAAATGTTTCTGATACGTCAGGTATATAATCAATATCTCACTGTATATGTGGAACTGTCATACAAATGACGCATCTGAGATTGCCATTCATTCGACAGTACAACTTCACATGTTCTTTAGGATGTAAGGAACAGCTCTGTAACTTACCACTTGACAGATTTGTCGATGTAGTTGGCATAGTTATACTTACTACATGATATGTCCCATAAATTCTATTGTGATCTTTGAGGCAGGAGTCGCATAAGTTTTCCACACACTCGTTGCAACGACCGACAGCTTTTAACGACCGTTTACTTGATTTACATACTAATTAACTGCAATATAAGCATGAGCAGTGACATGACATTTCCAACATAGTGGTCAAATTTGACATTTTACTTTTTTCAAAGATTCTCAAAATGCAATCTTTTCTAAATCATCCAAGACAAATTTTATTATCTCCAGACGAAGAAAACTTGATTTATAACGCTTTTTAACATTATAAGTGACGTCGTTGTATTTGATGGATTTTAAATGCAACGTGAATAAACTGAATCATCGTTTTGCTTGACATATACTCCTATATACATGTATCTTAGCATGTAAATTATTATAACGACGAAGCTCATATTTTATTGTTAAAGAGTACCGTGTCAATTGTAGGCCATCTTAAGTACATGTAACGACTTGTTGCACGAATAGACATATACAAGTATATGGAAAGCCTTGACTGTCTTATTATTATAAACCTGAACGTTGTTATGTCCAACTAGCAATATATTGAGTCAACCTTTCCGTATACAATGTGCACTCATTAATATATTATGTGGATCCATCTTTATATGTAGTCAACTGAACAATATTTGATGTCAATGTGTCTTTATATGATATCAATATATCACGATGTGCATTTTTGAATATAGTATGTGGAACCATCCTTATATAAGGTCAAAATACTCAGGTAATGAATGTGCACTGAAATACCAACATTTATATTTCAAAATATTGCAGGAATAAATAACAAGAAAAATATTACATACATTCGTATCTTTTATAGGTACGATTGCATACTTCTTTTTGTGAAGACTTTTTATGTTTGCTGCATTAAAGGTGTTATGTAAAATGAACAAACATGTCATGAGATATTTTATGTCTTTAAACATTTTCATGGAATGTAATTAATGTATCATCATATTAAAATTGCATGCCTTCAGATGAGAAAAATGATTTCAAGGAAATCAAAATATGAAAAGAAAATTCACGGTCAATTGACTGCTTTGAAGCATAATCACAAAATAAAAATACAGGAAATTAAAATCCTTTTTAATACACTAAAGGTAGAATTTCATTGTAAATCATATACGCAGATTTGAGATATGATTATTTATTCATATTAACATCATTATTGGTTATACAATGTTTATTGATAAAAAAACCCGAAAGACACAGTTTGTAAATATTGATTACAATAAAATATGAAAAAGGCGTTTTCCATCCCATGCGACGCCGTTAAAAGACATATAACAATCTTATTTACAAATGAATTGATAAAACAACAATCCCAGGTGCATTTAAGATAATAACAATCATTGGAAAAAAATAAATGCATATAAATTGTAAATTAGTGTATGACAACTCACCCCTAAACAAAACAAAACATAATAGACTCAACCAAAACAAGCGTCTGCTTCTTTACCTAACTATGTAGTTGCATGACCATGATTAGCAATAGCAAACCAAATTTAAGAGCTATAGCTTTTGTAAAAATAATACTATGACCACAGCAGATTTCGTACAGAAAAATGAGATATCACTTTTTGAATACATTCAAGAATCATCTTATTTCCAAGACATGATATAAACATAAAATTTAAATACTGCGTAACTGTGACATCATATCCTCAAAGCAGCTTGCTCAAGATTTTTGCTCTAATTTTCATGAAAATTTTAGATATATAAAAAATGGCCCTTGCTGTGTTAGTAACACAGTAAAAATATGGTGAAAAAAATCTGAATGCTCAATCAAGTTTCGTAATATTCGTCTTCTTTGTTCTGGAATAATGGTCGATTAAAGGTCATCTGATAGGTTCTAGGACGGCGTTATTACCGTGAATAGTCATAATATAAACGTTTTACTCAAAAATGTGCGTACATGTAAATAGAGGATATTTAGTTGTTCTGTAACTATGCTATGTTATATCACACAAAGAAGTAAGAAAATTATTTTCACGAGTGCGTATGGACATGTTGATGGATTGTCACGTCGTTGTGTGATTATATAAATGTACATGTATACCATATTGAAAAAAAAGAACAAAAAGAAAAACAAAGCAATCAACAATATATTACAGTTGGGGCTATTTTACGTAGATTGTATGTGTAAACTGCTTCCTTTGTTCACTTCACAATATTGTACTATTAAATACATTTTCCGAATTGTTATGAAAATAAACATGGATCTTCAGGTATGCTGCTTTAACGATATCATAACATTATGTTTAATAATGAAATTTTAAAGAATTTATTGATTCAATACCTCAATACTATGTTTTTCGGGGTCATTCAGCACGTAGCTGCAATTTACTGAAATTATCCGATTTAGTCTGAATTCAGTTTTTATCTGATTATCATCCATTTCCGGCATCTTTCAACAACTTACGATGCCATATTGTCAGAGACTAAACTGGTATTGCAATAATTGTTATAAAACAAGACAAAAAATTATTACGTTTATTTTCTTCCCATTGAATTTAATATAAAGCAGGAATGTATTTCAACAACTTCAAGTGTCTTACTTACATTAACTTAACAGAACAATTGTCTCTTAATTATATACTCTTATTATTTTATGTCCGTTAAGTTAACAATGATACCAACGTAATGTAATATCTTCCTTATTTTATTAACATTCAAGTGTTTATTCTGATTTATATAATGTATATCAGCCCCTACATGTTACTATATACATGTATATGATTAAAGAGAAATACTTGGAAAACAACTTGACATTGGAAATAAAATAACAATCGAAAGACTAAATGGGATTATTGTCTAATTACTTAAAGTAAGTAAGCCCTGAAAGTGTTCACTGTCGCAAGGACAATATATCAAGTGTCGTTCAAGAACAGATGAAATCAAATTTGTCAACTCATAAATTTTCTTGAAATTCTCTTTTTATGGTACTTAAAATACGATTGAGCAAATGTCTGTCAAGAGTTAAAGGTTTCCCAAAAAGTTTATCAGCGCAGTTGTTACTTAAAAATGAGTTTAACAGCGGAATAATGTCATCATTGCGGAGGAAAAAGATTACTTTAGTGCAGTAATTGTCATTGAATCGAGAAATATGCTTTGAAAGAACAAGATACACAATACATATATAGGGAATCATAACTTAATACGTAGGACAAAAAAATCGGCAAAGCTATGTTAACAACACTATGAGTGATATACTCTGAATACTATGGGCTTTATATCACTACATAGAAACCCAGACTTTCATTTATAAACATAAACTGACAGAGTATTTCTTGCATATCAGACTGGTGTTTGCGTTAATTTTACCCATGCCGGATATTTCATCTATCATAGGGGTGCCAGATGAGTTGCGTGCTATACAATGGCATGCTTTGGATGACGTTATTTCGCCGTTGTGAATGAAGTTATTTCATATGCTACTGTACGAAAATAGTTAAGGGTGTAAGGATATAAATTTCCAATCTGATCGGAATATCCGTCCTTCGGGAACCTGCCGATTGGCGAGTCCCTTGGGGACGGATATTAAGATCTGTACAGCAACATATGACAGCTATAATTAATTTCAAGTAACAGCCCAAACTGTTGATAAAAATATCTTATCGTTAAGCAACAGTAATTCCGAAACACAGGTAGCTCAGTGGGCGGATTACAGAGGTAGTACGTTCGATTCCTAATTTATTAAAACATATTTTAAACAATATCTCTGTTTTTATTATCATTTTAAAACATCAATACGATAAAGAAAACAACAATGTTATATAAAAATTATCAGGTTTCGCCATAAAAGCAGAACACAAAACCTTTAACTGATCAAATCATCCATTGCAATATTTTATTATTCTCTGTATAGCCAAATGTATGATAGGACAATAAAACTCAAAATATGTGTACTTCAGACATGAAATATATGCTAAAATTGTGTAAATACATGTCTGCGGGGGTTTAACCGAATGAATAGGCAAACACAAATGGGTCAAAAACGAACAAAGTATACTTGACCGTGATGTGTAGTATATCTTTATACAGATAAAGAGATATTTGAATGTACAAGTATATTGCCGGACGCTTGCATATATCTGTTTTTGTGTGGGAAGTTTTATTATTGACACCAGTGCTTGGACTCCAAAACATATCATTATGCTATTTCTGAACTAATATCTATTGAGGTGTTCTCATTTTTATGTTTAATCTTAAACACGTGTAATTTGTTAGAGACATCAGCATCATTGCTCCCACAACTCACATATAGCACGTTCCTTGTATTAGAAATAGCAAGAGCTATTGGTGCTTTAATACCGTCAATGATCGTCAACACTGCTTCATCGTTTGACAGATCGTCTTGCATCTGGTATACAGAGTTACTTGACTTTGAGCATGCGTATACAGAGCCGCCTGCGCTAACAGCAAGGCCCATGTACCTATGCCGACCGAAGGTGCCATTTACATTTCCCAATCTTGACAAGTTAAAGATACACATTTTACTTAAATCTGAAACATACATTCGACTGCTATCTGGACTCAAACCTATACATTTTGGTTCACTGAATATCATAGACCCAGACTCATTCAGTTGGAAAGTACACAGTACATCTCCGTTAAGTCTTAAGATTTCTATTTTTGGTCGCACCATACTGTCAAAGGCCACAATAAGTTTCCCGTCATCATGTTTTATTCCTCGGCAATTTCCATTTGTTTGTATTTGTTCTGTTTTTGTCAACCCTTTCAACGTTGTCAACAGCTGAATACGTTCTTCATCTCTAAGTGTCACGGCAAGCTGGTCCGGTGGTATTACCGTTATATCTCGGGGAGACGATGTTAACTCAATGTGAGAAACAATCTTGTCGTGAGATACATCCACAATTTTCACATTTTTATTGGCTTTGTCTGCTATAGCGAGATGATCAGCCGATAGAAATGCTAGTCCAGTTGCATAGCACACCTTCTTGTCACTTTCGGACTTGATATTAACCTGAGTTGATTCTCTATTGTCCAATAATTCTGGTGAGCTATATTGTCTTTGTTTCAGATTTTCAATAACTACTTTGCCAAAGATGGTGTCATCTTTGATATGTTTTGTAGTTGGGAGATATGACATGTCGTTAACAAGATTTCTCGCAGAAATTTCATACATCCTTTCAAAATGTTTGACCGTTACTTTAGCAGCATGTTTAGCTTCAATGAATAAAAGATTGTGCCTTTTCTCCTTTTTTAAATTGCTTAACACCTTATTTGTGTTTAGCATTTCTGTTTCAAGCTGATTCAAGTCCGATTGAACTTTCGCCATTTTATCTTTACTTTCTTTTATGTACGCCTCAGCTTCGTTGCGAACTTTCTGTTCTTGTTCGTTTATGTACTCGATGAGTTCTATTTTTCTTGCTTTAATTGCATCAGTAGTAATCTGAAATGCTGTTTCACTGAGCAATAAGTTTTCTTTAACTTTTTTCAAATTTTGAGACAACCTTTCATTGAGACTCTGCATACTGACCTGTAAGTCTATATACTCGTCTAATGAAGCGTACTGTACCGATATATCAGGGATATAATCCGTTTCGCAACTCTTATGTGACAACATGCATGCAATACATCCTATTTCATCATGTCTGCGACAGTGATATTTTAATTCTTCATCTTCATGCTGTGGACATTTTGGTAAAGGGTCCTTAGCTGGAATAGGAGTCGTCTTTTCCATGTCATGATAGACTGAACTTTTATCCGTTTTATGGCATTGATAACATTTATAACATAGGTGAATTTGACAGTTTTTGCAATATCCAAATACGCTTTCACGCCTCTTTGTAGCTTCACATTTACAACAGATTGGCACAACATTATCATCACTATTTTTCTTTCGTCCTTGGACGCTCATTTTTTAAACTTTTTATTCCTTATATACAAGATCTCAAATCAAATTAACTGTTTGAGACATCCGATGTTCCGTATACAAGCGAATAATATGATTAAACGTTGATAAACAGAGACAAGTAAAATGTATACACTTTAAACTGTGCACTTCAAGTGGGTATGAGAGGGGTATTACTCATTTCCTTCCTTTAAAATACACAATAAGATTTAATTATATATGAAAGAGACATAACATGTATTTCAATAAACACTTAATAAGTACGTTTTGCAAGTTATTATGTACCAAATATGTTTATGTTTATGCAAATTCAGTGTTAATAATTGCAACATTAAATCATACATGTAATTGCATTTTTATTTAGCATAGCAATGATTCTCAGTTTTATAGTGCACTTTATGTTTGGATATGGAACTCTTATGGATCTTAATGTGTTGCAGCCATGTTCAACTTCATGTGTTGTTGATTTTCAAAGAATTGATAGGACACGGGTTTGTGTGTATGTTTAACATCAAAGCGGGTCAACAATGTGTGCTTTTAGGTGTTTAGAGCCTTTTTTCGTCCATTTCCTTTATGATATGTTAAATGTTTTACCCACCTACACCAACGACAATAAAAAACTTTCAAAAAAAAAGACTACAACAAATGACAATATATAATTTGTTACTACCGAGGTACTAAATAAGAGTCGAATATGATTCCATTTGTTTTCTATAATAGTACATATCTACAAAAGAAATTCAAATTTTTTCAAACTAACCACTAAATTCCCAGACATGGGAGTTAAACCAAGATATTTCTTTTATCGAAAAGCTGTTCGTTTATGTCAATGCTCCAGAATAGACATATTACCTTTGAAAATATTCAAGAATATCTTTAACACAAACCGTAGCCATATCAAATGCTTTCTGTTCTGTTGTTATCATGCCATGAAACACATCAGAAAACGAACGATGATTTTTTGAATATTTCTTTATTTGTAATCTACGAAATATCATATAAAAGACAATTTTTTCATAAAATTTATTGTTATCGTTTCATAGTATTCACATGGGAAGTATTCTGATTAATACATTCAGAGAAAGTAAAATCATATATATGCTACAATTATCAAAGTCCATACATCAATTATACAAAAAACACACTTAGATAAGAACTCCAAATTATTGTTTTCTGATATTTTGTAGTAAATCATAATAAAGTTTGTAAATGAAAATTTGAAAATGGTAAAACTGAAAACATTTTGTCGAAATAACAAATTTTAAACACATTTAATAAGGGTATGTTCTCATGCTAGTATCCAGGGGTTACTGGTTCCATCTTAGAGTGAGACATTATGTTTTCGTAACTATTGATCTTAGACCTTGAGTCTCATGTTCATCTGTATCTCGCCACTGATTCACTGATCGACTGCCGAGTTATGACAAAACTAAGTTAAATTTGATGAAAGTACACAAAAAAAAACAACAACAAAAAACAGCAACAAGAAAAGGAAAAAAAGAAAGAAAAACGTTGTACAATGTATTTTATGCGATGCAGAATTAAAATTTCATATAATTCCACTGAGGTGTTCTTACGAGGGATGTTTCAAAATTAATGCAATTTTACCTGTATCTTTTCTTGACAACTTATAATAAATAATTTACTTAATTCACAACAAATAACTCTTTCATGCCAAAAGCTTTCAATCCAGTGTAAAAGTTCTTTTCCAAGAACCTCAACATGTTTCTTTGAAACTTATTGTTGAATTTGATCTGAAACATCCGTCGTATTTATTTATCAGGTTTATGTTTAATCTTAAACACGTGTAATTTGTTAGAGACATCAGCATCATTGCTCCCACAACTAACATATAACATGTTCCTTGTATTTGAAATAGCAAGAGCTATGGGTGCTTTAATACCGTCATTGATCGTCAACACTGCTTCATCGTTTGACAGATCGTCTTGCATCTGGTATACTGAGTTACTTGACTTTGAGCAGGCGTATACAGAACCACCTGTACTAACAGCAACACCCATATACCTCTGTCTACCAAAACTGCCGATTAAATTTCCTAGCCTTGATAACTGAAATATACACATTTTACTAAAATCTGTAACATATATACGGCTGCTATCTGGGCTCAAACCTATACATTTTGGTTCACTAAAAATATTAGACCCAGACTCATTGTGTTGGAAAGTACACAGTACATCTCCGTTAAGATTGAGGATTTCTATTTTTGGTCGAAGTTTACCATCAAATGTAACAATAAGTTTCCTGTCATAATATTTGATGCCTCGACAATTGCCAGCTGTAAGTATTTGTTCTGTTTTTCTCATCAAACCCTTCCTGGTTGTTAGTAACTGTATTCGTTCTTCATCTCTAAGTGTCACGGCAAGCTGGTCCGGTGGTATTACCGTTATATCTCGTGGAGACGATGTTAACTCAATGTGAGAAACAATCTGGTCGTGAGATACATCCACAATTTTCACATTTTTATTGGCTTTGTCTGCTATTGCGAGTTGATCAGGCGATAGCAATGCTAGTCCAGTTGCATAGCACACCTTCTTGTCACTTTCAGACTTGATATTAACTTGGGTTATTTTTCTATTGTCCAAAAATTCTGGTGAGCTATAAGGTTTTTCTTCGGGTTTTCCAATTACTATGTATCCAAAGATAGTGTCATCATTCATATGTTTCTTTGTTGGGATATATGTCATGTCGCTGACAAGATTTCTTCTCGAAATTTCGTACATTTTTTCAAAATACTTGACCATTTCTTTGGCAGCATGTTTAGCTTCAACAAATAATGAGTTGTATTTTTTCTGGTTTTTTAATTTGCTTAAAACATTATTTGTATTTAACATTTCTAATTCCAAATGATTCAAATCTGATTGAACTTTCGTCATTTTATCTTTACTATCTTTCATGTACGCCTCAGCTTCGTCACGAACTTTCTGTTCTAATTCGTTTATATACTCAACGAGTGCCATTTTTCTTGCTATAATGGCATCGATGGAAATTTGAAATGCTCTTTCACTGTGAAATGAGTTTTTTTTCATTGTTTTCAAATTTTCAGACAACCTTTCTTGTAGACTCTGCATACTAACCTCTAATTCTGTATACTCGTCTAATGAAGCATATTGTACCGATATATCAGGGATATAATCCGTTTCGCAACCCTTATGTGATAACATACATGCAAAACATCCTATTTCATCATGCATACGACAGTGATATTTCAATTCTTCATCTTCATGCTGTGGACATTTTGGTAAAGGATCCTTAGCTGGGATAGGAGACGTCTTTTCCATGTCATGATAGACTGAACTTTTATCCGTTTTATGGATTTTATAACATTTGTTACACAGATGAATTTGACAATTTTTACAATATCCAAATACACTGTTGCGCCTCTCTGAAGCTTCACAGTTACAACAAAATTGTCCCAAGTTATGATAAACTTCCTCCTTTCGTCCAGGGACACATCCAGGGACGCCCATTTTACTTATTTCCACACCTGATGCCAGACAATAAAATGAACTAACGCAATGGGACACTCATTATATCCAGTTTAAATATGATCAAATCTCTACCTGTACATGTAAGGCACTCAGAAGATAAAGCGACGATGATAAAATAAAGCAAGATGTACACACTTTTACACATGCCCTATTTGTTCTAGATTATATGTGACATACCTACAGGATGTTAAGTTGTTCAATACTGAATTTATTGATAGCTTTTAATTAATTTGGTAACGCAAGGTATACAATATCAGATATTATTTGTTGTATTAATTACATACTCAAAATAAAAGCAGTTGAGAAAAAAAATCGAATTTCGTGTATACCGGTATTTTGGACGCGTTAACACTTTGACGCTTTTTAAAAGCTTACGCTTATGTTTGTAAAATGCGTAAAACGTTAGTCACGTAAAATATTAGCACATTCGTGCAAACGTTCTAACGGAGTCGGAATAATCATAAAGAGTATTTGATAAAGTAGGAAAGTTTTAAGATTATCTTAATAAGGAATGTGTGTTAGACTCCGGAGAAATGGCCATGAGATCTGATCAATATACTCTGAATTATCCTACGGTGAGGTCGTATTTGTCTATGTGATACTTTGGGTGTCAACTATGGTACTTATTGTTCTTCATTTAATTAATATTACTGAAGTAAAAAAATGTAAGGGGCTTACAATATCATGGAATTCAAAATGTTTTAAAGCTATATATATTTGGTGACATTAGTTTAAAAAGTTTTTTTTATTTTGAAAAAAAAAGAAGAAAAGATTAATTCCAATCTTCTATTATAAAAGAGATGTATATTTTCTTTTTTTTTCTTTCATTGCTAAACAGTTTAAAAATACTAATTTAAATAGCAGTATTATAATATTATTTTGTTCTTAGAAAATTTACTTTATTAACGTACATTATTCATGTGTATAAAATAAAAGAGACATTTTATGTTAAAATATAGTAAGATTATTGATGCAGCATCGTTTTATAAATCATATGAAAATATTTCATTAGATAAAGCTCTACACCCTTTAAGATTTCTTTAGTAAAAATATGAGGGTCTTACAAAAGAAGTGATAGAGACTTAACATCATTAGTGAAATAAAATAGAATGAAAGAAATGAGTTTGTTTTCTTCGGGAAATTATTAATAAATATATTTTAACACTTTCAATCTTTCAAAGTTGTATTGTCTTTTGACCAACGTTTAGAACTTATTATAGTGAGATCTGTGTAAACATGATAATTCAGATTGCAACAATGTAATTGAGATTATACACAGCGGTAATATTTGCATGAGGTTAATATATTCTGTACAATACAATTCGCTCGAAAGAAAAAATACATTTCTTTTTAATGGATTGGAATTTATCTTTTTGCAGAATTAAAAAAGTGCTTTTTCATTATCCTGTTTTAGTATCAATTCATTCCTATTGCATGAAATTATCCATTTAAGTACATGAAATATCATGCAAAGTCATGTTATTCTAATAATCTAAAGTAACAAACTTTATATTTATATAAATGAAACAACAGAAGAGATTTTACCTCTTAATTCTCCTTACCAAATTGCTACAGTGAATATCAGTTTGTATGCGAATAGCAATATATGTGTATCGGATTTATGTACCGAATATATTACAAATTAGCCATATTATTAAGATATCTTAGCTCCTCATAAGATAGTTAAGACACTTTTTGGACTTACGGGCACGGTTCCTTACGAGACCATGGTTCGAAAATTTCAATTTCTAAAAAATATTGTTACATATGTTTTAAGTGTATGCAGATAGATTTGTGGCATATCAATTTTTGCCCGGAAACACACTTCTTGCAAACAGAAAATAATTCATTGGCACACAAGGTTAAATGATATGAAACAAGCAAAATCATAGCTCTGATGTTTTTAATGAGTGTTTTCTTTTCATGGGCATGAGATTGATTTATTGTAAAGGTGGCGCGATAGCTCAGTTGGTTAGACCACTGACTGTCATTTCTGAGGTTCCGGGCTGGAAACTGAGTATCACCCTTGAAATTTTTCAGAAACACTTTTAGTGTTTCCCACCTATCTAGAGGTTTACTGGTCCGAAACCCAGGTAATCTTCGCATGTATCAGTGATATACACTGGGCATGTAAAAGAACCAAGGAATCTATTCAATAAGAGCTTGCAACTGGTTCCCGGAATTCCTTGTATCTTCAGTCTGCCGAGGTAAGGACCCTACTGGAAATAAGTGCTTGCACTTTCGTAGGTAATCATTGAATGCCCGGTCTAAATAAAATCAATCAATCGATCGTCTGTTATTAGGATCCCAAACACAAGTTTTAAACCTAGCTCTTTTGAGTGAACTTTAACAATATTTTTATTTCTTCCGCTAAATGCTATTAAGAATTATTTTAGCATAATTTTTCACATCACAGATAATAAATATGGCTAAGCAATGTATACACAGAGTTTAAACACTTTATTTGCACTATCGACTTAATTTATACTTCAATTTTAATATGTAGGAATGTTAAGGGATTCAGGTTTAAAGAACACAATGACTATACATAAAGAACTGTTGGTTCTAGTTAAAATTATGTTGTTGACTAACATTATATTGACCTTTCTAGGAATTATATTTTGTTATCTTTATATACAGATTTACTAGTTTCCAATATGGTAAATACACTTTTATCACGGGAACCCAAATGTTTATTATATTAAAACACAGTTTAACAATTAAGGTATTCTATTTTATAAAATTTGTCAATCTATTGTATTAATATATGTTTCATACATAATCAAAAACTAACCAAAGATCAATTATTGTTTTAAATTTACACGTTTACTTTTTTTACTAAATACACAGTTATTTTTGAAACCGTTTGTTTTGTCGTTATAAGATCTTAAACTTTACAGGTTAATTATGAAACTCAATCATCCATATTATGAAATAAGCGGTGTTTTAGGTTTGCGATAAAGTATTCGTGACAAAGGAATGGTTTTAACATAGCCTAGATTTTATACAATGTACATTCCACGTTTAAGAAAAGTTGTTGTAACCCGTTAAAAAAAGACAAAAATGGATGTTTCGGGGAGAAAATTTAATGAGGGAAACGTTCATGGACATATCTGCAAAATTTGTGGGGATAATGATTACCGTATTCAAGCATTTGGATTTTGTCACAACTGTAAGATATATTTGTGCAGGAAATGTTTTGAATCTCACAAAAAAGACAAGAGATCAAGTTTTCATCATGCGGTAAAGAGTGACCCAGTCAACGCAAATGATCCTTTGCCGCCTTGTTCGAAGCATGAAAACGAGGTTATTAAATTCTACTGTCGTGCTCATGAAGATCTTGGATGTAATGTCTGTATGTTACAGCACAAGAATTGTGAAACAGACTACATACCGGATGTTTCAACACAGTTTACCAATTTTGAAGAGTACTTAAACATTGAAGTTTGCATACAAGAACTAAAAGGAAAGATTTCCGAAGGCTTAGACAAATTAAAAGAAAATGCACCACAATACAAAAAATCCTTTCAACTAGCTACTGAAACCTTTAGGGCAATAAAAAGAAAGATCACAGAACATCTAGACAAGTTCGAAAAAGAACTCGAAGAAGAGGCATTATCTTATATAAAAGCAAGTGATGATAAGTTGGCAAAATTAAAATTTGATTTGGATGTACTTGAAAATGAAGTATCTAATACTGCCGATTTGATGACTAACCTGAAGAAACAAAACAAAAACAATTTGCAATTTCTTGAAGCAAAACGTGCTGAAAAGAAAATATCAGACTACTTTATGAGGATTTACGAAATATCGACACGAAATACATTTGACAATATCATTTTTAGTCCTTCAAATCGGTTGAGTGACTTCATAACTTGTGAAAATGTACTGGGTACATTAAAGTTGGTAGGCAGCGAATTAGGACCTTGTAGATCTTTGGAAATGCTGGAGACACGCAAACCAAGTTATATTAATATAAAATCTGAAAGTGATAGAAAAACCTGCTATGCAACTGGACTAGCATTTCTATCGCCTGATCATCTCGCTATAGCAGACAAAGCCAATAAAAATGTGAAAATTGTGGATGTATCTCACGACCAGATTGTTTCTCACATTGAGTTAACATCATCTCCACGAGATATAACGGTAATACCACCGGACCAGCTTGCCGTGACACTAAGGGATGAGGAACGTATTCAGCTACTTTCAACAAGAAAAGGTGTGACTAAAGCAGAACAAATAAGGACAGCCGGGAATTGTCGAGGCATCAAATATGATGACGGGAAACTTATCGTTGCGTTCGATGGTAAAGTTAGGCCAAAAATAGAAATCTTAAGACTTAACGGAGAAGTACTGTGCACTTTCCAATTGAATGAGTCTGGGTCTATATTTACTGAACCAAAATGCATAGGTTTGAGCCCAGATAGCAGTTGGATGTACGTTACTGATTTAACTAAAATGTGCCTGTTCCGTTTATCAAGGTTGGGAAATGTTACCGGTACATTTGGAAGACATAGGTACATGGGTCTTGCAGTAAGCGCTGGTGGCTCAGTATACGCCTGTTCAAAGTCTAGCAACTCCGTATTTCAGTTACCGGATGATCTGTCAGAAGACGAAGCAGTGTTGACCATCAATGACGATATTAAGGCACCGATAGCTCTCGCTATTTCCAACGTTAAGAAAATGCTATATGTGAGTTGTGGAAGCAGTGACGCTAATGTATCCAATAAACTGCATGTTTTTAAAATAAAGCCTAAAACTAACAATTATTCAGCTGATAACGGATCTGATAGTATCTGAATGTTTAAAGTATTATTTATGTGTATAAAGCTTTGGAAAAATGATCTCTCTTGAGCCTGTACATGAGGAATAATGGAAAAGTGTAACAAGCCCCTTTCAACCGGCTTGAGCGGTATTCAATTTGAAACACTTAAAAAGTGCTGGAATCAATGATCCCGAAGGACCAGAAAATAGAACAACACTGAAGTAAAAATCGGGGCAACATTTTACACTTACACAACACTAAAGTTGTATTGTTGTATTGTAGATGATGCATATAACTTTTTTAAATATGCAAGATACTAATTCGAACATTTCAATTCAGTATTAACACATTTTAAATGTACGTAAAGTTTTGTAAACTATCCCCCGTGGGTTTGAAAACAACGAAAAAGACTATCTCTAGCTGTTTACACTTTCCAAACTTGCAGACGACAGTAGTTTCCGGTGTAAAATGATTTGACATGTGGTAGGTTTAACAGTTTATTTAAATACTTTTTTATCAACACATGTGATGAAGTATATATTGTGACGAAGCTAAGATCCAAAGCTTTCCGTTGGTTTAATAAATTTTAAAATCATACATTTAATCACAGCATACTAGCAGTTTAAAAACGGTTTAATTTGTATTGATTTAGCATAAGAGATAAAGATAAGGGAAACAACACGTATTTTTTCACTCGGTATTCCTCGTTTATTTACGTAGATCATATGGAAAGTGTTTATGGGTTTGTATTAACAAAGTTTTTATAGGCTATTATTTTTTCTTTCTCCTTTTTTCATTATAGCTGCTTGCATTTAATTAAAGATGACACAGTTTATAAATAGTTTGTTGATTTTATATCCATTATCCTTAGATTGCCCTACTTTGAAATGACATCAATATGCTTTTAATCTAATTTCTATGTTTACAAACTGTTTTCTTTTCTAAGCTGTAAAATTTTATTATTGTTATGCATACATTGTTAACATTTCTATGTGTATGGAAGACTAAGAAATAACATATGCAAGTTTAACGTCTTGTTTATTTTGCGCATATTGTTATATTGAGGTATTCCAAAACGAGAAAAACAAAATGAAAATAAATGTTCACTGTATCGGTGATGAATGAATGTGTTAAGATATAATGAATTCCATATGAATTTATCATAAATATAATAGTTTCAATGTCCACATTCTTTTGCATATCATATATATTTTGTTAACATTTTTATACATTAATTAAGATGCCTGTTGAACAGGATGTAAGAATTCAGTAGTTATGTACAGACCGTTGTCATGGTAATCCTAACTAACATTGTTAAATTGACAATCCCTGATACTTACACAGAATCATCGCTTAAATAACAATTAGAAGGGTAGCATGCACATATGGCAGAGACTGTGTACGTTGTATGAAAGGGAAGTCGAAACATCATTTGCTGAATGACATACATTCATAATTTTAAAAGTGTGTGTAAACAAATATACATTTTTGACCGGACTATATTTTGTACAGATACTAGTACATTTATTTGAAATGTTTTTGTAGCCTTAAATAGCTTTAACAGTCGATGCCAAAAATAAGGGCATACAAAGAGCAAAACATTTTGTGCCACTGTTATTTACATGCCAAAAAACAAAGGTATCGTTGATTTAAAATGTTATTTTGAGAATATAAACGGAATTTGATCAACAAGGTAATTATGACGTTACTTAATTTGGACCTTTTTAATCTTGTCATTTAATACCGAGGAGTGTTTATCTAAGCGGAATTTGGATGTCATTGACATTATATATTCGCATCTTAAATTTGAAATGTGTTTAAAGGTTAAACATGCATTACTAAACTAAGGTTTGTTTCAAAGGGACTTCAAAGTAGGAGTATGTTAAATACTCGTCACCAGAAGTATGTAGCGCAAAATTTGAAATTTTCCGTCAATTAAGTACCGAAATGTAAACAAAATAGTATTTTGACCTCCATACATGAACAATGAATCACTATAATTGTGCTAATTGCCTTAAATCAGCAGAAGCGAGATATGATTCATGGCCTTGTATTCATGTGTAACTTTTTGGAAGTTATAAGAAGTCAAAATAATAATGAGTGTCTCTTGTATTTTGTGGAAGTATCGTATGGCAAAGGCTTCCAAGGTCCAGAAAATATTCGCGGCAGATACTAAAATATATCTTATGTTGTATGAACAAAATAATCTTGAAAAATAAAATCTTAAAATTAATGTGTTTGTGCTTTGCTTTTCTGTTGTACTTTTGTTGATTTTTAGCACAATTTTCTTAACAGTTGCTATTTTTACGCAGGAAATTATAACAACACTATGTAACTTTTAATAACTGCCATATGGCACTTGACACCTACTGTTATGAAGTATGAAAACCTGGAAGAGACTTAAGTTTTTTTACGTTGATTTTATCTCCTCCATCCTGTCTACTGATTGTCTTGCCGTTTTAACTAAGTATGTAATCTGTTGTGTAGTTTTTTAAACTATCAATGATATTGACAGTTATAGAAAATGTGATTCCCTGAAAGTACACCATTGTTAAATGAAATCTCGTTTCAAGATGTAATGATTTGCAGCTGATACTGTTGGAACTTCTCGGCGTTTGACCTATCATGACTTATATGCCTAGCTCCAGCAATAATATCCGCTTACAGTTCTACTGAGTGTACCCATGTAGCTGTTTACAGACATGCATTTTAAAATAAAGGAAAATAGTACAATAATCAATCATGACAGCTTTGTGATCTGTGTATGGTTTAGTAGTATAAGCCATAAAGAGGCAACAGAAAGAAGTTTATGACAGGACCACATTTGTCGCTAGTGTATCTATATATAAGGAAACATTATGACAGAAAAACTGCATTAGGATAAGGTAACATTTCCAAGTCCGCTAGGTTAAGACCAATTAAATGTATGGACTAACGTGATTTAATTACCAATTACCTGATTTCAATTAAAAAAACGCTTGAGTAATTAAAATTGTCGTAAAAATGTTTCACTTTCAGCATATGATAGAAGGGGGCGGACGCCGGACAAGTTGGCTGGCTAATATCAACAAAACCACTTTAACCACTTATCTCTAAATATTTGGCTTGTTGCTCACCCGCAGTGTAAAACGACACAATGGTCGTCAGTAACGCCATTATTTGAACAATACTGATAAAATGCTTTTTGGGCAAATATTGATACCCAGAGAGACAATGCTACAGTATAATAGATGCATTGATATTTCGAAAAAGCAAATAAAACTAAAATTAGACTTATTTGTTCCCCTATTTAATAATCCATTTTACCGTTCCGATGCGTTGTACATAGGACAATAAGTCACTTTTTTGAAACAACTATTCAGAGGGAAACCTAAAATTGAAAATTATTGAATATTTTAATTGAATGAAATTGATTGATAAAAAATTGATGACAAAGAAATTTGTAAATGATCTTCTTTCAAATCATCAAATTATAAATGAAAATTATTAAATAAATTAAACAAAAAATAAATAAATAAATAAATAAATAAATAAATAAATGAATGAATGAATGAATGAATGAATGAATGAATGAATGAATGAATAAATAAATAAATAAATAAATAAATAAATAAATAAATAAATCGAATTCAGTCTTTAACAAGAGGTCTACAAGAATTGTAAAAGATTTCGCTACTGGATCCTCGTCAGTATATTCAACCTTATTTACCACATTGGTTTCATCCAAAACGGAAGACGGACAAAATCCCGCACGTCAATGCCCCACACCTCAAAATTTCATAGAGTGGACAAAACCCCACACATGAATTTTATAGAGTGGACAAAACCCTACACGTTTGATTTTATAGAGGGGTCATAACTCTGTGTTTCCAAAAACATATCCTCTCCGGTCTTTAAATACTCTATTTTTCCAAAAACATATCATCTCCGGTCTTTAACAACTCTATGTTTCAAAAAACAAATTCTCTCCGGTCTTTAAAAACTCTATGTTTCCAAAAACATATCCTATCCGGTCTTTAAATACTCTGTGTTTCCAAAAACATATCCTCTCTCAGTTGTTTTCCCTTTTTCCTCGTAGCTTTAAAATGCGACTTATCAAGCTAAAACTTTTTCATCGCCCCGTGATTAGATCGTAGACTTTTACAATGTTGTTCAGAATGGTATTGATTTAGATAACAAACATATTTGTACAGATCAACACTGTGATTGTTTACCTGGTAAAATTTTTCCTTCATTGCAGCATCTCGATAGAATCTCTCATTTTTTTACAACTTTAAACGCATTGTATATAGATGTATAATAGTAAAACTCTCATGTTATGACAATATAGATTTCTTGTTGTTATTGTCATCATTTTAAGTATTGATCGCCATCATGTAAAGAATTCATTGCCATCGTGTAAAGAATTCATTGCCATCATCATAAGTATTAATTGCTATCATCTAAAGTAATTATTGCCATCATCTAAATATTGCAATCATGTAAAGAATTTATTGCCATCATCTTCAAAAATGTATTGCCCTCATCATAAGTATTTATTGCTATCATTTAAAGTAATTATTGTCATTATCTAAATATTGCCATCATGTGAAGAATTTATTGCCATCATCTTAAGTATTTATTGCCATCATCTTAAGTTTCTATTGCCATCATCTAAAGTATTTATTGTCATTATCTAAAGTATTTATTGCCATCATCTACAATTGCCATCATTTAAAGTATTTATTTCCATCCTCTAAAGTATACATTGCCATCATCTTAAATATTTATTGCTATCATCTAAAGTATTGATTTCCATCATCTAAAATTTCCACCATCAAAAGTTTGTATTGCCTTCATCTAAAATATTTATTGCCATCATCTCAAGTATTTATTGCCATCATCTAAAGTTTTTATTGCCATCATCTTAAGTATTTATTGCCATCACCTAAACAGAGAGTAAAGGATATTTAGGACGGAATCTACAATCTGAATATTTTTCATGCTGCAGCAATGGTGGAAAAGAGCATATACAATATCTGAAAAGTTGATTGTTCTTATTATTTTTTTTAATACTGATATACCGTGAATATCTTTAAATCAAAACATAATTAAATTAATTACCCAAAGGCATTATCATTATGTTATAAACACTACTTTACTTATTTAATAATTCTCTTAAATCATATTGTAGTTCCGCATATGGAATTTTATAATGAAATATGGCCTGTGCAATGTTCCAAAAGATAGCTTTGTCCTTTGTAATGAAGTAAACATTAATTTGTTTCTGAGACGAAGTGTGCCTTTAATTAAAAACATGAATAATTCATTTAAATCGTTATTATTGCCAGAAGTTCTGAGGACAGATATACTTGGTTTTTTAACAATCCATTAATTTTTCTCGATTGACAACCATACGATATTGTTTGATTGTTTGACTTCAATATATCTTTTCAACCATCTGAATACTATAGTAAAAAAGGTAATTGTATTACACTTACATACAAATGTGTTTTTAGGTAGAACGCGACACTTTGCGAACTATCGAGCAGGGTCTTGAAAATTGGCATGCAAAATTATGACCATATTTCTGATTAGATTCTGTTATTTTTATTCCAATAGAATCAGCTAATTTTTGTTCACACGACGTCAAAGTTGACCGTCAAAGCCCGTTTTTTGATCATTACGTTGCGTATCCAAGGCTATTACATACATAATTATATATTATAAAAATCACCAATTTTATTAATTGTATTGATAGGAAAAGCACTATTATTCTGTGGCAAGATATCAGTCAGGTGTAAGACCAACTCACGAACTCCCTACCCCCCCCCCCCCCCCTCGGGTTCGGTTGGTTAGGCTTTATGTCACACCAGAACAGTTTATATGGCGACTGCCCAGCTTTACTAATGTAGAGAGGTCTTAGATGACCCTCAGTGCTTTATTTTAAGGCACCTGCGGTCACCTTAGTAGAACCACCGACGTCTGTACATTGGACTGGTAGCTTCCTCACATAAAATAATTTAATTGCAAGAAATACGTTATGAGTATTTTATTACAACTTTCCAATACTTAAATAATAAAATGCTCTTTATTTGCATTTTTGGTAAGTTGCACCGAATGTAAAGCTTTTTTTGGTACTTTCAACGAAATGCAATATACTATTTTAAATATTATTCAAATGAATATAAATTATATGTTCTTCGGTATTAAGCAGACTAGTAGTTACAATAGATTTAATTAACTCATGAAACAAATGTATGTACGCATCTGCAGCTAGTGTTTTTCACCAAAACAAAAATTACGTATAGTTTTTACAGACATTATACTTAGAATTGAAGCATTTTTTTACGATAAATCATAAGGACATGCTTTACATTCATGTTTTTAAAGGCACATTATGCTTCAGAAATCAATAACTTTCTCATTCTTTGGAAAGGTCAAATAAGTGTTCAATAGTGTTTTAAAAATGAATTTAGAGCATTTAAGATGTTAAACAACTTAAGAGAGTAGCAAAGAATGTACAGTAATATGTTGTAAAGGTAGCAAAATGTAAAGCAATAGTATTTTGACTTCTATACGAACTAATGAATTACTATAATTTTATCACTTACCAAGGAGAAAAGAAGCAAAAGATAGTCAGTCTTTATGGCCAAAGTGTAACTTATTTGGAAAAGGAAACAAGATAAGTAAAATACAATTTCGAAACATAAAAATGATAGCATTTCTGAAGCTTAATGGGTCTATCTAATGTAGTCAAAGCCTGGGTGTACGACAACAATCACGCCGCTTTCTGTATCTAATGTAGTCAAACCCTAGGTGTACGACAACAATACGTTGCTTTCTGTATCTAATGTAGTCGAAGCCTAGGTGTACGACAACAATCACGCCGCTTTCTGTATCTAATGTAGTCAAAGCCTAGGTGTACGACAACAATTTCGTTGCTTTCTGTATCTAATGTAGTCAAGTCCTAGGTGTACGACAACAATCACGCCGCTTTCTGTATCTAATGTAGTCAAAGCCTTGGTGTACGACAACAATCACGCCGCTTTCTGTATCTAATGTAGTCAAAGCCTAGGTGTGCGACAAAAATCACGTTGCTATCTGTATCTAATGTAGTCAAAGCCTAGGTGTACGACAACAATTACGTTGCTTTCTGTATCTAATGTAGTCAAAAGCCTTGGTGTACGACAACAATCACGCCGCTTTCTGTATCTAATGTAGTCAAAGCCTAGGTGTGCGACAAAAATCGCGCCGCTTTCTGTACCTAATGTAGTCAAAGCATAGGTGTACAACAACAATCGCGCAGTTATCTGCATCTAATGTAGTCAAATCCTAGGTGTTCGACAACAATCACGCAGCTATTTGCATCTAATGTAGTCAAAGCCTAGGTGTACGACAACAGTCACGTTGCATTCTGTATCTAATGTAGTCAAAGCCTAGGTGTACGACAACAGTCACATTGCTATCTGTATCTAATGTAGTCAAAGCCTAGGTATACGACAACAATCACGTTGCTATCTGTATCTAATGTAGTCAAAGCCTAGGTGTACGACAATAGTCACGCTGCTTTCTGTATCTTATGTAGTCAAAGCCTAGGTGTACGACAATAGTCACGCTGCTTTCTGTATCTTATGTAGTCAAAGCCTGGGTGTACGACAACAGTCACGCAACTATCTGCATATAATGTAGTCAAAAGTCTAGGTGTATTTTTATAGATATGTTCTTTATAGAACAAATTTATAGAACAAAAAGCCTTGGAAAGTGCGTTGGATAATTAAAAATGTCTGTTTTTAACGTGAAATTGATCTATTATTGTCAGACAATATCAATAAGACTGGTGTAGAGTGCAAATCTTTTGTCAATTATGATGAAATCAATTTAATTTGTTGATAGCGTTTCTGGCGATAATGATTATATTCATGAATTATTCAAGTTGTAATTTAATGAACGATGAAAACAGCATTGGAACATTGAGCTTACCTTTTAAATATCTATGATTTATTTAAATGATTTCATGTTGATATGCCATAGGTCCAATTTATTTTCAAGAATTTTTTTTTAAAGTTTTATAACTGTCCTCTTCATAAACGGAAAATTTTTGTGAAATTGTGTTAAAGGCACATCAAGTCTAGAAATGATTTTTCTTTTTTCTAAGGGCAAACATATTCAAACTTTAAGAAATTGTGTTAAAAGCACGCCAAGCCTCAGAAATAAATACATATTCCATTATAATAATATAATAATTGATTTAAAACACCACACTCGATGCATACTACTGCTGAATGGGAAATTATTTGAGCCGCGTCACGACAAAACCAATATAATGGGTTTGCGACCAGCATGGATCCAGACCAGCCTGCGCATCCGTGCAGTCTGATCAGGATCCATGCTGTTCGCTGACCAATCCTATTACAAGTAGAGAAACTGATAGCGAACAGCATTGATCCTGATCAGACTGCACGGATGCGCAGGCTGGTCTGGATCCATGCTGGTCGCAAACCCATTATGTTGGTTTTTTTCATGGCGCGGCTCATTCGTGACATAGTTAGCTAAATGTAAACAATTTATGCCAAAACAATATAATTAATCATTTAAAGTGTACTTATTGCGGAAAAAGAAAAATATACATAAGGCTTTTTTTTTATACCACATGTATTACAAAACTGAAGAAGTGCTGTTTCTAAAGGGACTGAACTGATTTGTTTGTTTGTTTGTTTTTGTTTTTTTTGTTGTTTTTTTTTGGGGGGGGAGGGGGGGGGGGCATGACGGGACTAGAAATATTTTCCCGAGATTTGTAAACTCCATGAAGCTATCCTTAAAAATTTATTTTAGAATGGTAAGAACTATCCTTTACATTTTATTTCAGAACAACAAATGAGATTCACCGTTTGCAATTCATTTTAAATAAGTCATAGTTACTGAATCGTTTCGGGGATAAAATGTATTTTATTTACATATTCATGGAATTTTTCCCATTCTTTCTGATCTTTGTCTGTAAAAAGATTAAAAACATAAACCCGGTACCCGAATGATAAGGTTAAAAGGAATTAATTGATTTTAGAGATTAGCAAACAACAAGAGTTATTACGGAATAATTCTGATTTTATTGTTCATGCGTTATATTACGGAAGGTTTCGTATTAATAAAATATTTATTTGGTACGGAATTGGAGCGTAAGAATCAGTTAATGTGATGAGTCGCGTTATAAACTTCTCGCGAAGTAGCAGACACTATAGGAATAAATGATTTAAATTTATTTTAAGTAATAAAAACATGCCGGGAGATATTGCCAGTTCGTTAGTTGTTTTGTTGATTGGTTACTTGAAGGTGGTCGCTAGTGAAAATTTGGGAACGTGTAATCCGTTTCAGTTAAAACGAGAGCATCTGAATATTCGTCTTAAAGAGCACATGATTCACGAGACAACAACTGACCACCATAATTGTGCAAGATTTTGTTTCTACCTGACGGCTTGTAAATCTTTTGATTATGACAGACAGACGAACGCTTGCAAACTGAATGATGCTGACAGTACGGATGTACAAACGACAGAGTTTGAGACCAGTGTACACTCAATCTATTCCGATATCACCGGGTGGCCACAGGTTTGTTTTCCTAGTTTTTATTCCTAGAAAAACAATTGATATGTCAAGATTCCAGTCAAGCCGAATCTGCAATTCAAATAATTGAATTTAAATTTCAGAAGCTATACTAATAAATCTACCCATTCTTTCTTTTTACTTTTGATGTAGACATGAATATAAGGGCAAATGTGTTTTCTTGGTTTGTTGACAAATCAGGCGAAGAACAGATTAGAACAGAACAAAACATTAATTTTATTTACAGTTAACTTTTTTAGAAATGAAACACAGCCAGTTAGCTTATCGCCCATAAAGTCTAATAGAATTATTAGTATTGCTATAAAATACGGTAACAGGCAAGTGAGTAACAATCATAAAAGATTCAAGTATCTATAAAATAATCTGGCTAATTGCCAAGTATTTTACATCAAAAGCTAAAATGAGCAATAACATGTTTTGTTATATTTTCACAAATTTATACCTATCACATATTAATATGGAATGAAATTCATCATCATCGTCGCCTATTTCACACACCTTACACACTCCCTATTTTGTCACTGTATTCTGTCATTCTAATATCAACCAGTCTGTATTTCCTTGACAATACCGTGCTAGAATATTCATAAGATTAAAACATGGGCGAGATAATCGTAGATTTCTTTCACAATACAAGGTTTTACCCCGCCCCCTACGTAGCACTGTATTACTAAAAAACTTAGCAACCAAATAACACACATAGAGTATTTTCAGTGATGTCGAAATTATTCAACATGAAATCATATTCCTTAGTACTTCATTAAAATTTCTTTTGTCAAGTTAATTGTCCGTTGTCTTTAAAGCAGCACGCCTCCAAATTCATGTTATTTTTCATGAAAATTTTAAATATGTATTTGAGCGTAAAATATTGTGAGGTGAACAAGAATAGTAATTTACATACTGCAAGTGGCACTTACAATCCAAGAAAATTACCAAAAAGTGGTCAATATATGCAAAAACAGCCCTTACTGCGTTAGTAACGCAGTAGAAATATGGTGATAAAACACTGCAAAATCGGTTTTAAACCGCACATTTACGTAAAATATACCTTGGATCTTGAATATTTTACCTTTCTTAAAATAGTAGTATATTTTTCTCAATATTATTTTTCATGAAATAGTGTGGCTCATCTGGAGGCGTGCAGCTTTAAAGACATTTGATAACTGGACCATGTTAAGCCATATCTAATCACATTATCTTATTTTACATTGAAACAATTGGCGGGTAGCATATATTGGTAATCATGTAAATAATATTGTATTCCAGTAAACAGAACATTAGAACCGAACTGATTGATTATGATAAAAGAATCTATTTATTCAGATCGGTCGATTTATTTGATTGAAGGGTCAATGCATATTTATTTTGCATTAACAAATGCAGATGCACAATGTCTCATTTAAAGCCCGAGCGAGGAATAAGAAATACTGATAACGAAACGCGGTGTTACCTATATAGAAGTTTATTTAAGTGGAGCGACAGTTTGCCGGGCGTGTATAAGGAAGCCATGGCGTATACTATGCTTTACACGTGTCTTTAGGCAGTTATGTTTTGATAATGAATTTAAACTACCAGGGCCGTTTTTTTTAAATGGGGCCCTGAGTCACGCATATTAAAAAAGTGCAACAATGGCGCGAGCCCTTTAATGCATGTATATAAGATGCTACAATTATTTCGATAGCGCTAGATAAAATGCAAATAGTGGTCTTCTATTACTTCTAAAGATATTGTATGACTGGAAAAATCTAATCGATTTTGAGTTTAAAACTTGCAGTCATTTCCAACTGATGCATCAACAGAAACATTAAGTGCTTTAGATGCCGCTCCCATTGACGCTTTCATCGAACATTGACAATTGCAATTCCTTTGTCAACTATGTAGACTCCCTGATGTGTATCTTGCTGAACATGTTTTCAACAATCGTTTTGTGTGCTACAATAATTATGATAAAATATGATAACCAGGCTTATGGATAAAGTTTTGTAACTTATGAATATTATAGCACGGTAAATGTTTTAAGTGTGAACGGCTGACTGAAGACATATTGCAACACTTGATTTATTTATGTAAATTTAACATGCAAATTCTTGAACATTTGTTGAATTCGATAATAGAAATTCGTGGTCACAGTGAATACACGTCGTTCGTTCTGATTACTCCGTCTGAACAGATTGATTTTCTGTTATAATTGATGGGGGCATGTTTAAACATGTACAGTATACTATATTTATTTGCAAATTGTTGATTTCGTAAGACATAGTAAAAATGTATTTGTTTCCTTTGAAATACTCAAATTATATTATGTAATGTAGTTCTGTATTAAATCGTAATATGTTTATGAAAAATCTAACATATTGCTCCATAACTTATATTATACCGGAAGTGTGCAGAAAAAAAATCTATTCATTTTTGTACCTAGAAATTTGTACAAGTGGACTATGTCTATTGTCATGCTTAATTGTTACAATGATGCTTTCGACCTACCATTCCGTTGATTACAACAACTTGAAGATTCTTTTGTACGAATTTGTTTTCTTGACTTATATGTTCATACATGGCAAAGTGAATTTTTACTGTTTTTATTTTTTTATGTTACATGTTTTTTTTTGCTCTTCAGTGTTGGAGGAATAAAAGATATCAATTATTGTTACGATTTGTCTTTCGTTAATGTATCCCTGCGTGGCAGTTTTTATGCAAGAGTAAAAGATCATCTATGATATCACCAAACTATCCGTATAAAAAGTCTCCTCTACTGTGTTGCTTATAAATTGTTCATCACCAAGAAGGCGTGCGTCAGAAAAGCACTATTTCCTTGACTGCTACATCGTCATTAAATGTAGAAAATATTAATGCCGTGTTCTAGCATATGTGCTTGTTACAAATGCATATGTTGATGTTTACGCATGTTAAAATATGCATGCTGAAAATCTAAAATTGAAATAAAATCAATTCAGAAAACTTATACGACACTTTAAATTTACATAGAAACATTACTGTGGCAGTAAATGTATCAAATTGATAACGAAAACGTACTTGCAGGGCACCGCGTTTAGATTTCTTACTATAACAGATTGAGTTTGATACATACGGAATTTTGCATGACTAGAGATGTATCAAAAAATTAATTATGTTCGTTTTTTTATGACAACCACACTTTATCCCTGCATATCTTGGCCACTTCCTTAAATAAGTCAGATTTATTTGTGTAATACGCTCTGAAGTATTCGGTAATCGACATAGCTAAAAATAGCATTTTCATTGAATAAAATCATATTCATCCGCGTAATTTGTGATTGTACATTTATTGACAATTCTATAAGCTAACGCTACTTTTAAACTTTAAATGCGTTGTAATTTGTCGGATACTTGTAACTTCTTTTACATCGCTAGTTTTAAAGCTGTTTTGAGAACTACTTGTTGTTAGGTTTGTCGTTAAGCGCTGTGCCAGAGATTGAATGTCAGCATTGTATTTTCTGATCTGCGATCAGAAAATACAAAAATGAAAAGATTACTGAATTAGATCGAAAAGTTATGACAGAATAATGATACAGAAACAATCAGAATCAATAATATTGATGCAAAAAATCGCTCAAACGGATGCATGTAAACAAAGGTTTGCTCAAATGTGATATAAATTCTTTCAAACGAAATAATTTGATGTTTTCCAGGGAATTGCAGGTCCCTGTGGATCCCGGCCTTGCGGCCTGAAACAGCGTTGTCTGCCAGCATACCCACCACGATGTTTAGAAATTAGTATGTATATTATAATTCAAGCTACGAATTTTTTTTTTTTATATTTACCCCTTTTTATTTTAAAATGTTATGCAGAAAATTTTTCATTTTCGTTTGCTTTTAAATATTAAAAACCAATCGTTTGATTCTTTTTTTTTCTAAAAAATACCCAATAAAAAAATTTGACAAAATTTTATATCCCTTTGGGGACCCCCACCCCTTTGCAAAAATATAATACAAACATTTTACGGGAAGCCTTTAGAAATTTAAAATTAAAAACGTAAAAATTCAAAAAATTAATTTTACAAAAACCATTTATTAATATTGTTTTAAAATTATATTTTTAAAATTTTTCATCATTTTCATTTTTTTTGGCATATTTTGTTTTCTTTTTGTTTTTCTTTAATACGCGTGATACAAAAACACAGCAACAGATTTTATAAGATTTTCATTCCTTGTAGTCATAATTATATTAAACTTATTCAAGTTTGCTTGTTTAAAATATGAACATAATATGAAAATTTCAAACTCCTTGTATTTTTTATTATTATTTATGCATTTCTTTCACTGATTTATGTTCAAAATCTAATTTGAAGCTTAATTTGATCTCTCGTGATTCTTTTATCTTAGTTTGATCTTTTTCTTTCAGCTCACAACTCATTTTTCTTGCTTATTGTTTCCCTAATTGCCTAAAAGAATACGGCGGATGCATCTTGCAATTCATTTATCTTGATTTTTGCAATTATTTCCTTTTACATTATGCGTCATAATTTGACGACACCATAAGGAAAAATATCTTACCTAAAACAATTGTAAAATCTCAAAGGAAAGATAATTACCTGAAATCAATGATTATTTATGATTAGAATTAAACTTGGAATTAAAGTGATTCTTGCGATTCGATGAATACAACTTAATAGATCATGTAATTTACACTTTTTTCTGTTTTCTTTGCTGCGTGAATCGAGTGAATCTTGTGAATTCAATTTCAAATATCTTTTTTAATATATATTTTACCCTTATTGAATGCGGCGGATGGATTTTGTGACTTGTGTTTCTTGTTTTTATTTTTATCTTTCCCTTATTTGAATGCAGCTGGGTGTATTTTGTTATTTTTTGTCTTGTTTTTATGTTTACCTTTCGTAATTATTCTGGTTGGATCAAGTAAGTTACCTTTCTTGTTTTCTTGTGTTTTTTTACTGCTTTATGAATATCTTGAATCTTGATTTTTGCAATTATTTCCTTTAACATAATGCTTCATAATTTTACGAAACCATAAGGAAAAATGTCTTACCTAAAACAATTGTAAAATCTCAAACGAAAGATAATTACTTGAAATCAATGATTATTTATGATTAGAATTAAACTTGGAATTGAAGTGATTCTTGCGATTCGATGAATACAACTTAATAGATCATGTAATTTACACTTTTTTCTGTTTTCTTTGCTGCGTGAACCGAGTGAATCTTGTGAATTCAATTTCAAATATCTTTTTTTAATATATATTTTTCCCTTATTGAATGCGGCGGATGGATTTTGTGCTTGTGTTTCTTGTTTTTATTTTTATGTTTCCCTTATTTGAATGCAGCTGGGTGTATCTTGTTATTTTTTGTCTTGTTTTAATGTCTCCCTTTCGTTATAAGGCTGGTTTGGATCAAGTAAGTTACCTTCTTGTTTCTTGTGTTTTTTACTGCTTAAATGAATATCTTGAATCATGTTTTCTTTTATTGTTGCCCTTCCCCCCTCAAAATCCCTTGTTGGAAAAAAGGGTTTTGGGGGTTTAAAATTTTACTTTTTTTTTGGAAAACACTCTTACAGAATTTTGGAAAACTTTGAACCCAGTTTGAAAAAGGGAAAAAATTAAACCCTTTTAAATACGGGAGAAAAATAAGTTTTTGGTACGAAAAAATTTGGTTTCCAATTTTGGATATTCCCTATTGAAAAACCCAAATTAAAAAAATGTTTAAATTGCAGACTTTAAACTCCAAGCCTGACTGCGTGAAATAAAAGGAAATTTGAAAAAAATTTTTTAAAAAGAAACATTTTATAATTTATGCCCCTCTTTAAGAAATTTTAGATCTTATCACTTAAAAATTCTTTTGGTTTGAATAATTGACGGAAATTTTCAAAATTTCCCCAAAATTGTATTTTTAAAAAACTGATTTAATTTTTTTCTGTTTATTATGAACTTGAACTGTTGACTTTGTTATTAAAAAATGGATACATCCCTGTAAAAAGAAAAATTGATATTTTTGAAACAATACACAATACACATTTAGAATTGAACTGTTTTAGTGTTTATAAGTCAAAATAAGCGTTTAACGTATTGATTGAATCATGGGTGATTCTAACGCTCATTGCAAGTGATGAAAATGTCTACCAACAAGACAACACAAATATTTACAAATTACAAATATATTCAACAGCTAGTAAGAATTTTAATTAAGACATTAATAAATAAAAAGTAATATTTTCACCCGAGTAGTTCCCTTCTGCTTCGTCAACAGCATTTAGCAAAATTATCCAGCCTAGTCATTTAATCTTGATTGTCCTTACCTTTGTGATATTTTCTATACCCTTGTGATATTTTCTAAATGAGATTTTTACGACAATTGTGTAGCTACCTAATTACTCACACATTAAATTCTTTAATTGAATTAAAATTTAACAACAGTTGACCGAGGAGCACAGCGCTCTATATTTCTCAAATGAAAACGAGGGATAAAAGTGGGCATATATTTTATTTAGAAAAACTTCATGACAGAATAATCTGCCTTGAAAGTAAACAATTATTTCATGCTTGAAGTGAATATCTGTGATGGGAAAAATTAGAAAATACAAAAATATACAAAATGGAGGGCATTAAGCAAGCAAACTAAAAGCTGCATATGTAACTCCTCTTTAGCAATGCATGTTATAACACAAAGTGAACACAGAGACATGTTTATAAAAAATGTACGATAAATAAACAAAAAACGTATTTCTTTTGCCAAGGCATTTAGAATTTTTTTTGGCACCATCATGGAAATTACGAAACAAAAAGTGTATTACATAGTGCTAATAACTTGCATTTTTGCTTAATCTCAAATAAATACATGTAAATTCATAACGTTACTTGCAAGACGATATTTTTAGATTTTACTGAAAACTGTTTTCTGCTATGTATAACACAATTGTCACTCTGTCGTTTTTAGGTTAATGTTCAAATGCAAATATATCAGTTTCTAAGTCGAAGTTTGGAAAACAAATTTCATTTCATTCTGAATAAAACTAACCAATGGAACATATTTCAAGTTGATTTTAAGAAAAAGGGGCTTTAGTGTGAATATCTTTGCCTCAAAAGATAAACTAGGACAAAAAGACAAAGAAAACGGTCCTTCTAATCTGGTGACATATTTTGATAATGAACAAATAAAATAGGGCAAAAAGACAAAGAAAATGGCCGTTCTACTCTGGTGACATATTTTGATAATGAACAAATAAACTAGGGCAAAGGTCAGAGAAAATGGCCGTTCTATTCTTGCGACATATTTTGATAATGAACAAATAAACTACGACAAAAAGACAAAGAAAAGGGCACTGAAGATGAAAATGACAGGTAGACTCATCAAACTGCATACACATGTAAAGTTTCTAATAAAATAGGCTTGTTAATTTTTTTTAGTTAATGGCCATCAATAAACACTACCAACAAGGTTATCTTATGCCGACGCCAACATCGATGTCGTCGAAAAAGTATTGACAATAGCTCCGCTAAATCATGAAAAATGGAGCTTAAATCATTACGTGGTATTTAAAGTAATGAGAATATTCATGTTTATATTTTTCAGATTAAATGAACGGCACAAGCGCAAAATGCTAAACCTAATAGAAATAGCATATGAGAAATATGTTTTGTAACACTTTGTTGCGCTTTCTTTTATGTGCGTTAATAAAGTAGACAATATGTGCCCAATATCTATCCATAGAAGGACATTAGAATTAAGTAACAACCTTATCATACACACATAAATATCTTAATAGTTTGTCAGTTAAAGCTTTAAGCTATTTCATTATTTACAATACGATTGATAAGGTATAAAGAAAGTAAGTCAAAAGAGAGCAGCGGATAGTAAAAGACCATTTAAGCGCAGCAAAATACAATCAGTTCCAGGTTATTAAGTTCCAATACATAAAAAAAGAAAATAATCAGAAAAGGCTTTTAGAAAGTCATTCAGCAACCCCGCCTCATCGATCGAGTAATTTTTAAGACCCTTTAGTTTTTACAGCGTTTGCAGATCTTTCGAATGCAATTTAAATTTCCCCCAATTAACCATCTTGTAATTTGTGACAAAATAATGCAAACACATTATAAATGTTTGTATATAAGCCGTTTAAATTCTGTTAAGATAGCACTGACAACTTTTTATTCCCGTTTCCGGAAGAATGTGATATAGTTGAAAATGTTGAATACTAAATATTTGCTAAAATTTTGATGTATAGATGATATCAATAAAAGCTAAATGACCGAATGAGCATTTGAGTTTGTTATTGATATTGAATCATAAAAATAATAGGTGGAAACAAAAATCATTTAATATCTTAATAAACATATTTTAAAACCGATACTTTCTTTCAAAACATATCTACGCTGAAGCATAACAATTAATATTTCAATTTAAAGCAATCCATCTTGTGTCAGTAGAGAAGACTTATAAGTAATACCGATGAAAAGTAAGTCATTCCAACAAATAATCAAGGTAAAAAGCCATCAAGTAATTCCAAGAATAGGCATGAGTAAAGAAAGACAATTAGAACATTTGAAAGTATACAGTTTCACGGATTACTGACATTTTGATAATGTTTAACACTTTAACCGTATTTTTAAATAACATTTCCACGTTTTAAAATGGTCAGCATTTTGTTCATGAACACTAAACTTCCTTTACAGATACGTCTACAGTTCAATGTCACATTCAAGGTGTATGGGAAGAGAAGGCATGCACCCCTAAAGGTAGGAGGCGTTCAATATTTTTTTAAAAATTGTATCATTATCATTTTGATACAAAATAATCTCTTGTTAAAATTTTGGTGTTGTTTAAAAAAAAAGGAGAACATAAAAAACACTATAAAACCCAAGATTTTTATAGATTCTAATTGGTTATTCTGCCTTATTTCTCTTTTTTTTGTGTGACCACCACTGAAACCGATGGAATAGTTCAAATAAAATCGAGCCTGCAACATTAACATTTTTGTCCGAAGAACCTTTCAACCAGTTTCTTTTTATTTCAGATTGTGGTCAACCTACGACAGAAAATGGATTTGCAACATTGCTGGACTCGTCTAATACAACATATATGGCACTAGCTACTGTCACGTGTAACGAAGGATACGAGACGAACACATTACATGTCAAGTGTCAGTCAGATGCAACCTGGTCAGCAGGAAATTGCGCAAAAATTAGTATGACTTTACCTTAACTTTAAATAATTTTTTAATGATTATTTACATTAGGCTGACTTTTTGATTAGCCCATACAGGTTCTTTTGAATCATACATCATATACTAGTAGAAGTACATTATACTAATGTGGTAATGGGTAAATAAATCATTTTCATACAATACTATATTTTAAAAAGGTTAGATTAGTTTATACAGATTTATTTTAGTTCGATTGTGTAGGAAGCTATAAATTTATAGACACACTATTGAATTCGTTCCTGGAACTATCAATACGAACAATTGAGTGTAAAGTTTCTTGCTCAAGGAAACAACGACTTGCCCCTGACGGGGTTTGAACTCACGCGACCAGTGCGCATTTGTTTAATAGTGCGACTCTTTAACCTTGTCGCCACTTTTAACCACTACACCAAGCTGCCTCTTGAAAGATTGAATCTACCACTTATTTAAAGTTTGGCGAGCTTATTTAATTTGTCTGGTGTTTGCTTTTGTTGTACCAAAGATTTTGTTATTCAGCAATTGATGTGCTGTAGGAGATAATGCTAATTCGTATACAGACATCACAATGTCTTTTCAGGTTGCGGTTCATTACCAAGTATAGCAAATGGTGTCGCGACTCTTTCTCTACCAGGATCAAATCTATATCTAGATACTGCTACACTGGAGTGTAATTACGGGTATACCGCTACTCCAGCCACGTTTAAATGTTTGTCGTCAAAGTCATGGGAATACTCGCATTGTGGTAAGATCTTTTATTTGATCAATCGAGGTCATGTTCTGTTATCAAAATGACGATTAGCAGATGATGTCCTACTTGAACGAGATGATCATTTAACATCAATTTTGTTTTAATGTACAATATGAAATGACATAATGCAGTTGTGCTTGTCCGGACATGTGAATATCGCTTACTATTATGTATATAAGCCTGATGAACAGGTTATACAAAAAGCTGGAAAAAGGAATGATCATTATGAAGCAATGAAAACAATATTGTATAAAAATGGTCGACTCGTTATTGTTTAGAGATTGAAATATAAAATAATACGTTAGACAAATAAAGAAAATGTTTTTGAGAACAGCATATATTAAGATGTGACACAGATTGATTAAAAGAGCCAGAGCTAATTCACATGATATTTATAACTTTCTTCCTTTAAAAATGTTTATTTTACTATCATTTAAGAAAAGAGCTTTCATCAATGCCTTTCCAAATTCAATCTCATTCCCTTGGGTGACATGTTTGCAAAAAGTAACAGGGCATCAACAAATTATTTCCAGTACTAATGGCGTGCAAATTCGATTAATCAAACCAAAGATAAACTGCTACTTACTACCTGACTTATGCCACGGAAGCGGTCTACAAAGCGGAAGAGTGTAGGAGGGTGTTTTTTGAGAGCCTTCAGTATGGTTTTATGTCTGACACCCTTTATCAGGGCCGAACCACCTTGGTATAATGTCATAGGTTTCGTTTCTGTACATTCTAGATCTTGTCGGGCGCTGTATAGTGACCTACTTTTCAGATAAAATCATTTGTTTTGCCAATACAACAAAATAACACCACTTTCAACTGATTTCTCTCTTACTTTATTCTATCTATTCCAACTGACTTTCAAAAAAAGAATTGATGCCGAGCATCATAGGCAACGACAAAATATATTGCTATATGAAAAGTATTATCTATTGTGTACTAATAAGTACCAGTGTTCACATTATCTTGAACTTAATAAACACTAACATCAAATAAAACCATAAACTGTTGGCTGTAACTGGCTTGAGTTTTGCACTTCCATTTTGCTCATCAATTAATGGATAGACAAAAATAGTATTGTTTACTAATGAACAATGCAAATTGAGATAAGACTAAATAGACAAGTAGGCTTACCTAAATCAGCATTGACCAAGTTTACCCAAAATGTTTAGCATTTTGAGGATGAAAAAATAGTTATTAGAAAAAAACCTGACTCATTTTGTAAGGTTAGTAATAGTATATCAAATTGTTTAAGAATTCTCACTCCTGTTTACTCTCACGTGTCTATGTATCAGTGTAAGTTTCTTATAGCATTCAATAACAATCACACAATCATTTTCTTATACATTTATTCCATATAAAACTACACAAATTACTGGAAGTGAACTTCCTTAATCTTGGTCAAAGGTGAGGAAAAGTAAAAACAAGTTCGAAAATACTAATTTTTTATAAAGGCAGAAATCATTTTAAAATAAAAAATAAGCAAACACATCAAAATACAAGAAGTAATACTGTGCCCGAATAATTTTTGATGACGCCCTTGACCCTTTGAACTAGTGATTAAAGATATTGCAAAGGCAGAATACTCAGCAACCATTATTTTGAAGTATCATTGTAAAATATTTAAACCGAGACCATGACTTCATTAAACTTTTAAAGACAACATGTGTTCAAAAAACAGTGATAGACTAAAAACGCGAAAAGCAAGAATTAGTTTTGTTTAATAATCCATTATACTTCAATCCAAACCTGACCCAAATTTTTAACATAACAGTACATATAACAAAACAATAAACAATGCATAACACACACAAAAAGAATAAACAATGAAGACCATAAAAAATCTCAATCTAAGAAACATGTACGTAGAATAGTACTGTATTGTACTGTACTCAAAGTACTGTTTGTTGGACTAACCAAACTGAGATTCTTGCATACCTGTTTGCAATCATGCTTTAAAATTTGCACAAGATTACATTATTAACACGCACTAATTAACAATTCTTCATGGATCAAAAATCGGAAATGAAAAAATAATTACCTTGGCCAATTAAAAAAAGAATTCTTCTTGTTATCACATGAACTATAGAACTGCAAAGTATTTGTTTGAACTAAAATAAATAAAATAAAATAAATAAATAAAATAAAATGAATATTAACTGTTACCAATTCACTGTACTATATATGACTGATGAGATTTTATAATAAAAAAGGAAAACAGAAAAATGCTGATAAACTGATATTATGAACAACAAATTTAATCATGTGATAGAAATAGTCCTATTACCCAAAACATGACTTCAACTACTGAATGGAGATCTGATAATGTACATAATGGTATATTGATCTCAGTATTTTATTTTATTTAAGCATGTATGCCAATAAGCAGCTATCAAGGGACTCTCAGTAGCACTGTCGACGGATTTTATTGTCAGAGATGGGACTCACAATCTCCACATGGTCATACTTATACTAACGCTGCAACTTACCCAGACACATCTGTATCAGCTGCGAATAATTATTGTAGAGCTCTCGGAGAAACCTACCTTTGGTGTTACACTACCAACATAGGTAAACGATGGGACTATTGTAATAAGCCGACGTATATTTGTTAAACATTCTGTCAACTATAGGCTCTGTTCAGTGGCTTGGACTGACCTCTTGGTTCCTATTTTACAAGAGCGCTGTCAGGAGAATGTATGCACTTCCTGACACATAATATAACGATTTACGATTGCATCTCGGTTTTATTCAACATGAACGTAACGTGTTTACATGAGGAAAAAAAAATTCTTGAACATTTCAAATCAAACTACAGAAAATACAGTGTTATGTTTAGACAACCATGGTGTTCGCTACATGTAGACTTTGAAAAATCTGCAAAGCGACAACGCGCCTCTCAATTACAATTATGTTAGAAATAAAAAGTAGTACGAAGTTTCACTCACCCGATAACTTTTCTCGTTTTGTCGGACCGATAATACCTTCCTGGTTTTAATGTTAACCCGCTCACACTATTCTTCAAAGTAAAAGAAGTTATGATAATTCAAAGAATATCAACAAAGTAATATTGAACTTTCTTTTAGGGCATTATTTTTTTGCAGTTGTCGAACGGCCATTTATGGTAATTAATCTGTTTAATTAATTTGTTTATTTTGTTCTGTTTCATGATTTTATAATGTGACAATCATCTTAGACGAAAGAACATTGTTGGAAGCGCACCTGTTACGCTACGGTCATTCGAACAAATCACGTGATGATGGTACGTGAAACATAAACCATATTATTGAGTATTTAATAAAGGAGACACGATAAATCTCTTAATATAAACGGCCGATAGGTTCTTATCGAATATCTAGTTTGCCAGATTAACTAGTTTTTTTAGTCCCCTACCGGTTTATCGGAGGGGACTTTAGGTTTACCCTCCGTCCGTCTGTCTGTCAGTCCGTCCGTCCGTCCGTCAGTCAGTCCGTCCGTCCATCTGTCTGTCCGTCAGTCCGTCCGTCCACAAAACTGGATCCCGCGATAACCCAAAAAGTACTGAAAATATTTTAATGAAACTTGATATATGGATAGATGGCAGTATGGAAATTATGCACGTCTTTTTCTTTTCTTCCTATGTTGAAAATTCTGGTTGCTATGGCAACAAATAGACTGAAAATATGGCAAATTTTACACATAACCTGGATCCCGCGATACCGCAAAAAGTACTGAAAATATTTTTATGAAACTTGATATATGGATAGACGGCAGTATGGAGATTATGCAAGTTTTTTTCTTTTTTTCCTATGCTGAAAATTCTGATTGCTATGGCAACAAATAAACTGAAAATATGACAATTTTTACACATAACCTGGATCCAGTGATAACGCAAAAATTACTGAAAAAGTTTTTATGAAACTTGACATATTGGTAGATGGCAGTATGGAAATTATGCACATTCTTTTCTTATCTTCCTGTATTGAAAATTCTGGTTGCTATTGCAACAAATAGACTGAATTTCAAGATTTCTGATTCTAGTTTTTCAGTTTTTTCACTATAAGTTCTTTATTTCTTAAGGTATTTTCTTCAAACTTTAAATATAAGTTGCTAGTCATCAACCACATCATATGTGACAAAGTTTACAACTCTAGCACAAAATTTATCAGAATTACCTCCCTGGAACTTAAAATTTTCATGAAAAAACATTGTTTTTTTTTTAATAATTTCTTTTTTTCTGAACGTATCTACTTCAAACTTCATATAAATGTTTCTTATTATCACTCAACATTTGTGAGTGTTCAATACTCTAGCATTTCCAGAATTATGCCCCTTTTGAACTCGACTTTTTTTTGAGAAATTGGTAATTTTCTTCAATTATGATAGGATTTTCTTCAAACTCCCACATCATAATCATGATGACAATAATATGACAAGGTTTATAAATCTAGCATCCATATTTCCAGAATTATCTCCTCCTTAAACTTTTTATTTTTCCTATTCGTTCTTTTAACTTTCATTTACTTCAAATTCAAAATAAACATTCAATATTCATACCTTCATTACTAATTGTTCTTTGTAACACTCACATCATGTATGACATCGTTATCTCCTTATTTAAAAATTTTGCTCTAAAAATGTTATATTTTGATAACAGGGATGTTTAAAAATAACTTTAGAGTGTCCTTCAGTCTGTTTGTCTGTCTGTACATAAAAACTGTTCACTGTGATCACTTAAAATAGAAACATAAGTGAATGGCCAATGGCCCTTCAGAATGTTGCTTGGGCTCTTACCGGTAGGGGACTTATGGATTGCTTGCAATACTATGATAATTGCTTGTTTTTCCAGTTTTGTAATGGTTAAGCTCTAAGAAACGGCAATTTAGATCATATTGACTATCTTATTTCCCAGGAAACACCGCAATGGTAAAAAGAGCGTTTCGAATAATTATTTTTAAAGATCCAGTATTATATAATTAAGGTTGTTATCACAATCATATGAAATTTTATATATGAATAAAATCATGCTTTTAAAACAATTTTCCAACTTCGAAGAATATGTATAAAATATGTACTGCAAATATTTATTCACATTATATGTAATCATTAAAATATATGCATTCATTTCTTTTTGACTTAGACTTTATAGAAAATAAATGTCTAATATAATTGATACCCCCCTTTATTAACATGAAAGTAATTCGGATATATTTTTACAAATTAAGCTTTTTGGAAACTTACACATTGACAAATCTTCATTTGATTATATTTATGATATGAAAACATAAAAAATGAGTTACAGGATCTTTAATAAAGAAAAAAATGTATATTTTCATAGATATTCTTTTATGATCTTTTAAGTTGTATATGAAAAAACGACCTCATATTATCGTACATTTTCAACTATTCAGAGGTATAATCTTGGCAAGTAACGAAATATGTCTCATAATATTTTCCTACATTCAAGAAATAGCACTAGCACACAGTTTATTGATTTGTTTTTGCTAGAAAACAGCTTTTGGCACTGTCAGTGTACAGAACTGTTACAACCAATACTCTGAAGTTAATTCTTTTCATTGATTTAGTGAAAAGATTTGTTTAGCCATTTGGTTACCAGCAAGAATCAGTACCAGGGTAAACATGAACTTATGTTATTGTTTGTATCCGTAGATATTGTAAATAATTATATGCTTGGTTAATTTATAAAAAGGAAACAATTGAACACATTTAGTACGCTATAGCCATGTAAGATACGCCTTTACGTTTGATTTGCCTCAAAATATGCCGCAGTATTATGATTAATTTTAGACTTGAAATTTGCTTGACGTGTGTTTCTATATGAACTCTTAATCATTTAACATTTTGCTTCAAAACCTGTCGTGTAGTTCATGTTTAGGCCTGTGTTTATTCACTTTAGGAGGGGGGGGGGGTGGAGGGGTTACACTTCTTGAACATCATACATGGGCTACACACGGTCATACAATTAGAATTTTCTGTCATCAAATAATTAAATTTGACCTGTGCTTATTAGACAATGTAATATAAATTACAGCTATGTACATGACAAACGAAAGGCAATTTTCGTTTAGATACTTATGATTGTTAATTAGTAATGTAAGGGCATCTTGGTATTGAAAGTTCATCAAGAGTTTGGGCAAGTCTATCAGTATACTTAATATTGTTATATAGCCCAATTGATCATCGTAATCTTATGTAAGTGATTTGGCAAAATAAAATTTACATATTATTTATTGTTTTGTTGTAAATATATGTGTGATTTTTATAATTAAGTGTGGATAGTTAAACAAAACAAATGGCACCCGTGCACTTTCTCTCTCGAAAACATATAAAAGCAAACAATTAAAGGGTTTTATAGCAAAAAATGTAAGATATTTTTTCCTTTAAAAATTCAATAGGTAGGTATATCACACTTGTTGTTTTGTCCAAGTATGAATCATTTCCACAATGTCCAAGGATCAATTTTACATCTGAGACAGTGCATATTGTCCAAATTTCATAGCTGTACAGAAAAGGAAAAGAAAGAAGGTCACTTCCTCTACCTCAATCTACGTCAACTGATATCAGAGTTCAATATAACAACTTAACTTATGCACATGGCCCTAATTTCATAGTTTAACATTTAAGGACATGAAAGTTGGACATTTCGTCAAATTATTTAGATCAACTGCAAACAATCCATTCAAAAATAACAAAGTTATAGCCACTTATAGAAAACAAATCAGCGCAAATTAACATTTGACATTTGACGTTAGAGGTCAAGGACATTATGAATGAAGGTGAATGTTAGTCTAGTCTGGTTGAAGTTCTGTCCCAATTGTTGTTGCGGCCATGTGTGAAGGCAATAAAACTTTTGAAATGTTATGATCGATGTTAGTGTCGGGGAAGGCAAAGATTTGACTTAAGATATCGCATAAGAAAACAGGGAAAGTCTTTTCACAAACAATAAAGTGCTGCTAGTCAGTTGCTTGCCGTCCTCTGTTGGCTAGTTTGATGAAAAGACAAGTGATTGAAATCAGAAAGATTATATCAACTACACATGCGTTTTTACCAATCAAATATTCTGAAGAAAAAACGGAGATAATTGCATTAAAACATATTTAAATTGTCAAGGCTATGAGGTATATACTGAACAAAAGTTCCACCACTAGACCGATTGGTTTTGGCGTAAGAGAGGAAGTATTTTGATTATAAAATGAGAGTATGGACATTAAACGAAAATTTGTAACACATTCATCAGTCTAAAAACCAATTAATCTGAACTACCAGAAAAAAAGTCGCTTTAATATATTGCGTTATATCCACTTTTCAGTAATAATTTATCAAATTCGATTTCAAATTCAGCGAATATGAAATGTGAAATGCTTGTATCGCGAACAATTTTGTTACTAAACTTCAAGAATCTTTTATTACGCATAATAGTCCTGTCGATCTTATGAAAAGTTGGCAAAGAAATTAAAAAATTTGCAGTCAGACTGATACCGCAGCAATCCGAGAAAAGGTTTTGCCATTAAACAAGATAAAGAAATGCAATAGGTAATATGAAATTTATAAATACATGCCTGATATGCATATATGCAATGACCTATTAACGTAATTTACTTGTCTCGGATTTCAATATATCAAATATCGCTTAATGATTGTCGCAAGACAACAGAACAAATACCTAATTTAATTGAAAGTGAAGCAATCAGTTTAATTTTGGATGGCAAATCTTGCGAGAATGATTAAATTCATGAATTATTCAAGGTTTTTAATTAATGGACGATGAAAACATCTATGGAACATTTCCTTTTCTTTTTATAGATATAATTCACTTAGAATAAGTTATTACCATTTCAATTGCATTTTGAAATTCCATATTTATACCCAATCATACTTTGAGAATGCATAACATTTCAAAGCTGTTAAGTAGCAATTATCAAAACAACAACAATGATTCATCATCATCATCATCATCATCATCATCATCATCACTATTATAATTGTCATCATCATCATCATCATCATCATAATCATCATAATCATCATCATCAAAATCATCATCATCATTTGTCATCATCATGTTATTCAATGATATACAATAAATGTTGCAAGAAGAACAAAACAATTATTCATTAAATTGTTGTTTAAATTGTTATTTCACGGTGACAATAAATACACTCAAAATGAGATATTTCGCTCTTTTGTATTTTTCACTAGTCCATGTACACCATAAACAAAGAATATGATTAAATGCTAAAGAAAGGTGTTTAAAAAAATTCTATATGAAAAATTATTAGTTCCTGTTTACTTGTGTTCTAATCCCAAATGATCTACAAAAACAAAAACAACATGTAGGCCAACAATATTTTCCTATTTACGATTAACTACTTGACAACAGAGATGTTATACATCACGGCTTTATGATTAAGTCCGTAACGGAACAATAAAGCTGCTTTTTGAGATTTGTATGAAATAATTGGTTGTTTGTTTCATCATACCGCCGACATACTTTTTTCTCTCACCTCTTAATTAGTATACGTGCACTTTTTTCAATTCATTGTGTCCCGAATTAGGATACGCCTTTATTTATTAATGTCAAATATTTCTGTTCTTCGTAGTGCTAAATGACCTGTTGCTATATATGCATCAGCAGGTATCATCAACAGTTGATTTAACTATTCATGGATGCTCTAAACCAGAATAATTGTTTTCCAGTAATTGATGTGAATTTAAAAAAAATGTTATGCCATTGGATTGGAAATAAATGATATAGAAAATTATTGACTAAAATTCACATAGTAGACCAGTCGCGTAATTATTCTAAGATAAGCCATGACCGTCTGATTAATTTGTTCCAGTTATTATACAGTTATTATTTTTAGCACACCTGACCACGAAGTGGTCACAGTGAGGTATAGTGATGAGGCTATGTGCGGCGTCCGTCGTCAAACGTCGTTCGTCATCAACAATTGGATTGTTAACAGTCTAGCAGTCACATTTTTGACTAGACCATCATCAAACTTTTTCAGAATGTTTGTCTCATTAAAATGCAGATCGAGTACGAAGATGGGTCATCTCTGTGTCAAACACTAGGTCACAGGAGCTAAAAAACCCAAAAAGGTTGTTAACACTGTAGTGCAGTTTTGATCCAAATTCCCTGGAAATTTGCTTTGATGATTTGTAGGCCAAGTTCGCATATGTGTCATCTCCGGTCAAAAACTAGGTCACAGGAGCTAAAATTAGAAAAATCTTATTTACATTCTAGTGAGTGCAGTTTTGATTTAAATATTCTTGAAATTGCCAGGAAGGTTGTTTTGATGATTTCTAGGTAAAGTTCGAAGATATATAGATAGATTTATTTCGGCAAAGGAAGCATATACATAGTTAACAATATAACATAGGATAAAATAATGAGCATTATTAAATACTATATCACATACGAGTAAAACTATGACATGCTCACCAAAACCAAGGATAACACAAAAAGGGCAAAAAAGCTCTTATTTCCATTGTGGTCCTTTGTATTGGCGGCATGACATAGGGAGGCAAACCTAAATATAATCATGTTTAAAAATACTAATAAATCATAAAAATGTAT